GAGATATTAATAGCTTTGGGAATGTAAAAAATAGAAAAAAATTGTTGTTGAATAAATGTTTTCGGCTTGTTTGTTTTGTTAAGAGTTTAAAATGCTTGTGGTATTTTTCTTGTTCATAAACAAAATTCCCTATTCATTTTTATGTTTTGTTTTTTTAAAAGTAGACAAAATTTAATTACAGTCTAGGAAGCTGCAGTTATTTGAATTGTTGCTTTATTTTGCAGGTAACAGTTGATAAGTGGGAGCCTTTATTGAACAACTTAGGACATGTCTGCAGAAAACTCAAGTAAGCAGAGAGTGCTGGAGCTCCATTTCTCTATAATGCTACACAAATGTGTTTTCTCTCTCCTTTATATCAAGATTGCATACCACATGAGAGCAGTGTAGAATTGCCCTGTAAGAACAAGATTCTCTAAATCAACTTGTGAATATAACTATATTAATGAACCCTTATATCCTGTTTATTACACAAAAGTTAAAGTACTTTATGTAAAAGCCCCTCTTTAACTATTGATTCTTATTAGGGGCAGTGTAGAATTGCCCTGTAAGAACAAGATTCTCTAAATCAGCTTGTGAATATAACTATATTAATCAACCCTTATATCCTGTTTATTACAAAAAGTTAAAGTACTTTATGTAAAAGCCCTTCTTTAACTATTGATTCTTATTAGGGAATTAGTTGTAGGCTTTTAGATGCTTGTATGGGTGTGAATTTTAACTCTCCACAGCCTCAGTCCTCACATACTGAAATATGTCCATTGATTATTATATAAATACATAATTAACATAAAGGTAGGTTTATGCCAATTAATTGCTTGGATTAGCACTTACTTTTTTTTACTGAAGTGAAATATTCAGTGGCACTATAACACAGCAAGTGAGTCTTACTTTATGTTTTTTAGAGCAAAACTATCTAATATTTCATGTTTCCATTCAATGAATAGAAAAGTACAAAGCATATATATACAAGTGTTAACAGTTTTAACATAGAGACTTTTTCTCATTAATTACCTTAATGTGACTTTAGCCAGTCCTTTCTTTGTTCAATCAATGCAATTTAAAAAAAAATATTTTAATGGTTTTAATTGCTCAATTGGTGTATGCTGTAATTTTTGTTTCAAAGCTGCTAATGAGAATGTGATTATGGTAGATGAAAGCTGAGCTTCTGCTTTGGCTTTGGTAGTAATTGCTTTGTGCTTTAATTGCCAATTAGTCCTCATTTTCATTATGAAATAAGGGCGTATAACAGTTACTCCTTGTGCCAAGATCAAACAAAAGGCACTGCTTCTGAAATCTGGTCATGAGTATAATTGCAGGATTTTTTCAAATACTTGTTTTGTTTATAATTACTTTTGTATTTTTAAAATTTCTACGGTAGTTTAACTAACTGCTTACATCATCCTTTGTACAACTTCTAGTATTTGCTCAGGTTCAGAAATCAAAGCTAAAATATTTTTGCAGTCTTTTAAACCATCTTCCAACAAAATCAAGTTGAGAATTTAGGCAACTGTACATATGCTTTGACATCTTAAAAAACTCTGTAATAACTAATTTAGTAGTGTCTGTAATACATAATATGGCTATTATGAAAAACTTAGTGGATATCTGTCTACTCACTACTATTACGTGGTGGAAATTTGAAAGCAGCCTATTAAAATACAGTGGCAGTCAATTGGATGTGTAAATACTGAGTGAAAATGAAATAGAAATCATGTGAAATGTTTGTGCAGCAAGCAAATAGTTGCATAATTTTTCTGCCTCAGTTGTCACTTAATGCCCTCTAACAATGTCATGTGATCCTCATTGCATAATTTCATTATCACTTTAGATGTTAAAATTTCTTATAAACAGGTGATATCTATCTTTATTTTTAACAATGTAGAACTAGGATGTCAAATGTGACAATTTAATTTCTCAGAGTAATGCTGTAGTGTACATTTAATCCTTATTTTATAAAATAACAAATGCAATAATTAATAAAGTGTAATTAATAGACAGTTTTCAAAGACAGGTTGTTATTAGATAGATATCATGGATATGTGTAAATCTCCTTTTCTGATAGAACGTGTCACAAAATGATGAAGGTATCAGTGTATGCAGCACTTAAGGGTTGTGAGATTTCTGCCCAGAGAACTTTTCTCAGTTTGAATCATTTGTGATTTAGTCTCCTAAATGCTCCTTCTCTCCCTAGGGAAGGCAAATGAAAGCTACAGAAAGAAAGCCAGTGCTACAATGAGCAGCATTAAACATCTAAAGCAATTTAGCATACCAAACAGCTAAGACCTCCAAATGGGACCTAGCTGTAGGCAGCTGCTTTCCTACATAAGGAGAACAATGATTTTTCAATTACACTGAGGAAGAAAATTGTCGATATCCATGACTCTTTTGTGCATTCTTAGAATTATGTTCAGAGTGCAAAGCAATAATTTTAAAGTTCTGGCACAATTGTGTTCCACTTTGCTAAGGAAAATACCCACAGGGTACTGTAAAAACACCTTTCACCATGAACCTTACTAATAGATCTCCTGTACTTAACCCTAACAGGAAGTATGAGGAAGCACTGGAATACCATCGCCAGGCTCTGGTGTTAATCCCCCAGAATGCTTCTACTTACTCTGCCATTGGCTACATCCACAGCCTCATGGGCAATTTTGAAAGCGCCATTGACTATTTCCACACGGTACGTAACTGCCTTCAGCTGAAGGGCAGGGCACAGGTTCTGTTATTTACTGTTTCGCTCTGGTTTGGGTTTGGAACAGAGAACCCAAATTTTTTTCCAGCTTCCAAATGAGTGTTTATTTTATAATCTTAATTTGGTTTTTTTCTTAAATCTCCTATATTTTATTGGTTAGGTAAAAAATGGCCTCTTCGGCAAACTTTTGAATTGCAATTTACATTTTATGTATGTAAGCTTCTCGTGTACCTGAAATAATTGTAAATACTTCCAACCTAAAAATCTTACAGTAAGTAAACAGCAGCATATGCTGTAGCTCATATGTGAATCATTTCCTGTCTGTGTATATGTTCTTTTCTGGTTTTTTTCCTTGCTTACTACTTCAGCCAGTTCATAGGATGGTGTCATTTTGGTTGTTCAATGTTCTGCTTTTACAGTGAAGATTGTGCTCCGATAGCATCCTGGAAAAACAAACCAACAAACTGAGCCATTGCAGACTTATAATGTAAATGTTTTTATTTGATGCTAAATACTTTTGCTGGTTTTTTTTCAATAGGCCCTTGGTCTCAGGCGGGACGACACATTTTCGGTCACAATGCTTGGACACTGCATAGAAATGTACATTGGTGATTCTGAAGCCTATATTGGTAAGTCTCTAACTTATGTGTCTCTTGAAGTCATTGAGTCCTTTGAGAGGAGTGTTATGTCAAGGACTGCCTACCACTACATAATTAACTCACAAAGTAGAGGGTGTCTTTCTTTGGTTTTTTTTGGTTGGGTTTTTTAAAGGCTAAGTGAGTCAGAACTTAGCAGCAATTACAGATGACCACTGGTTTTTGTGAGCATCATGACAGTACTCTCACCAGCATAAAGAAAGGAAACACTTTGTCATTAAAGGTGTTGATGGCTTCTTTTGTACAAAATATTGATTTGTGACGTCTTAGATTGCAAAGGGAATGGGAGAAAATTCAACAGAGGTAGGGAGTTAGGAAATCAGAGCACTAATGCTTATGTTGTTGTAGAGCAAGGTATTTTCACCTTGTCAAAACTTGTCTCTGTGGAGACAGGATACGTTTTTGTGACTCCAAAAATACAGCTTTATATATGGTAAAAAAAAAGTGCTTCATAACAGTAATACATTATATTGCCGTGGGTTTAAATTTTCTATAAAGGATTTTCCCTGCAAAAAAACTTCTATATTTTTTAATAGATTTCTGCTTCATTCAGTTTAGTGATTTGTCTGTAGTGAGCACAGTTGATGTCTTGTCAAGCATGTTAAGAAGGCTGAAGCCTTAAAAGTAAAAGCCATCTGTGTGCTGTAGTGCTTTTCCTGCAGATTTTTCCACACCATTGAAACAGATGTTTTTTCTCAATATTGTCTTGCTCCATATGTAGTCACTTAACACATCTGGAAGAACCATGCAGCCATGTGATATGCATTAATGCAAACCAAGCTGTGTGTAACTTAAACAAGAAAAAAGCCCCTTGGAGAATTGGGAAGAGAATTGGCAATTACTTCTCAAAACACACTTGAATCTGAGTTGTACTTCTTGTATTGTGCTTTTTTGAGAAAGGAGGCTGCTGGATTTTTTCAGAACAACTCATTCAGATTCAATCATTAAGCAGCAGCAGCTCCTTGATGATCTGAAAGCAGAGAATTATAGCAGTTTCTGAATGATAGTTTCTTTGAGATTACATTTTTGGGAGTATTCATTTGAAATAAACTACTGGTTTGTCTGTTTTCCTAGGAACAGAGATCAAAGACAAATTAAGATGTTATGACTTTGATGTACACACAGTGAAGACATTAAAGAACATAATTTCACCTCCCTGGGATTTCAGAGAATTCGACATAGAAAGACAAACTCTGGATGAAAGTGGCATAGTAACATTAGAGACATCAAATCAAAGGAAAAGTACAGATACCAGTCGCCCATTGGAAGAAACCTTTGAGATTGAAATGAATGAAAGTGATATGATGTTAGAAACATCAATGTCAGACCATAGTACGTGACCATAAATACTGGTAGAGAGCTCATTTTGTCTAAGTGTACTATGTTTGTTTTAGCATTTTTGTTATGGTGTTGTACTTTCATGAATTTGCTATTTTTTATATGAATTCAAACTACTATGTACTTAACACCGGGAGTTTTATAGTTCCTACTTTATAAATATTCCTTTCTTCATAGCACTCTCATGAATCCCCATCTGAATCAAGAAGAGCTCATAGCATTGATGTAGGCCATATACATAGTTTGAATCCAGAGTATTGGCTATTTTGCACATGCCTGTGCATTACTGAAGATGAATTCAAGTTTTAGACACAACTGCACTTTGGAATTCAAAGGTATCAAGGGAGGAAGAGCTTGGGGAGGAGTCTGTATTTTATCAGCAATTGCACACACTCTCACTGTGGAAATCTGTTGAGTCCAGGTCATCCCATTGTTTTCCTATGAGGACCAGCACAGTAGAAGAACCAGAGAAGTCTGGTTCTGTCCCAGTGATAATGGGAATTGTGCTGTGGCTCCACAAAGGGAACGGGAGATGCCCAAATTCCCTTCCATATGTTAGAAAATATAGATTGGCCTTTGCATTGAATACAGAATTCAATGCCAATCCCATATGCTGTTAAACATGAGAAAATAAGGTGAACAAAAATGTTTTACTTTCTTGTTCTACAACAATTCACTGAAAGTTACACATTCTCCTGAAAAACATAGTACAAGCCATGAGTCTTAAGTGATAAAGTATCCAAGCAGAGTGTAGGAAAAACGAATAATTTAGGAGGCATATGCATCTCCTGGGCAGAGTCAGGTCTCTCTTCTTCAGTGTGACTGACAAAAAGAGTTCATACAAAGGGCTTTATTTTCACTTGGAACCTGGTAATTGGGGTGTGGTTCAGGTGACTTCTTTGAGGTAAACTGGGGATCTCTGGAAGAATCTATAATGAGTGTGTCTCAACAGCTGCTCTGTTAGGCAGGTCTCTTCCTTTACAGGATCTTTTGAAAGTTGTTTTTACATCTGTGCTCATGTATCCTGAATGATTGTAACCAAGACTATCTTGTGAATAATATGACAGCAAAGGCTTGTTGCTGCACACAGAAGGATATTGCAAATAGAGTCTCAAAAATTCTCAAGGAGCCAAACTCCTTTTTCTCTATATCATTATTTTTAATCCAGCATATGTCAGTCTAGTTTTCTAGTAAGACATCATGGCAATTTCTAAATGGAAGGTGGCAAAATAATAATCTAGAGAATCAGGCCTTTTGACTACTATCAGACATGGATATAAATCTTGTATTGTTTTGCTCTGTTGCTAATCTTTCTCATTGGCAAAATGGTTTTAAATAATGAGAGAAGTTCACCTTTCTTCCTGCACTCCCCAGTTACAATCTGATGCTGTGTTGGCTGTGATGGCAACATTGGTTTATGTTATTCCTGCCTGTAGGAATCTACTGTGCCACTTCCTCAGCTGTGGTAATACAAATCCTTGTGAATGAAATCAGGGAACTGGAACAGCATCTAAAAATATTTTCTAGATCTGATCAATTCCCAGGTTCAAGGAGAGCAAGCCACTGCTGTGTTACTTGTTGTCAGTGGGGCAGAGAGGTTGGAATGGGAGGAAACATGGAATAGCGAGAATGGGCATTGCTGTCACAGCAGCCTGGCATGACACTGTGCCTTGGCAGGTATCTGTTGGAGGCTTTTTGGCTGGCTATTGCTAATCTTTGTTTATTGGTATTAAAAATTGCCCAGAAAGAAATGTATGCAAAGTGTCCTAGATTGTGATGGACTGTTTTGGATGTCGGAGGAATTCCTGATACAGTTTGGCTTGGCTCCAAGCCTCTTAGGCAGCTACAGCTGGGTTAGAGCTTGTGAGCTGGTTCATGATGTGTGTCTCAGACAGGACTTTAGTGAAGTTCTGCTCTCCTCATTTATCTTCTGCTCAATGTTTTAACCTGCTCTTGTTCTGTCCAAATCCCTGCCTTTGTACTGGCAGCACCTGCTTGCCCTGGTCTTCTGCACCTCCCATCACCTGTCCTGCTCTTTCTAGAGAGTGCTTGGTGCCTTTCTGGGGTATTATGACATCCACCCTGGCTCTGGTTAAATTGGGTATTGTCCTTGTTCTCGTGAGGACTTTGGTTTTTAGTTTTGGCCTGACTAGACCCCATATTCTTGATTTGTGCTGCAAGCCTTTGCCATTGCCTGACTTGGCTCTGGCTGCTGCGTACAAGGGTCCAGGACTGTCAGGTTGGGTGGCTGATAAATATACCCCCAAAAGGGACATTTTGACTCTGTCTCATAACTTCATCTTTCTCTTCCAAGGATTAGTTTTGTCTCAGACTCGGGAGATCTTAATGTTCTTGAAAGTTTTCAGAACAGATACGAAAACCCACGAGGTATTTGTGCTGCAAATGGCTCCAAAAGTTTCTTCATAGGTACTGCTGCCTAAAAGGTTTGGAAACAAATAATGTGTTAGCTCAGTTGATCAGAGCCTGGTGCTGATACTGACAGTGTTGCAAGTTTAAACCCCATGTGGGCCAGTCACTTAAGAGTTGACTCAGTGGTCCTTGTGGGTGCCTTCCAACTCACTGTATTCTGTGATTTCAGTTTATTATTCCACATCCCATCGTGTATTTCCTTCATGCTTTGGACAGCTGTCTGAGGACTATCAATGCAGCAGGAGCTGAAGATTTGCCATGACCCTGTGTATTCTGATTAAATTGCAGGCATTTTTCTTCCTTGTGTCTAATTTCCATAGCTCCAGACAAATCTGTCCTTCAATGTGTGCCATGTCCCCTCTGAGGCCGGGGTGACAAGGCACCGTGAGCTTAGGGCGAGGCTGTGAGAGGAGGGAACGGGCACGTCCCTGTGTCTCCCCCTCGCACGGGCGGAGTGGGCGGAATTCCAGCAGGGACGAGGACGGGAACGGAGCCGCGGCTGGCGGGGGGAGCCTCGCGAGATCCCGCCCGCCCTGCCGCCGTTCTCGCGAGGTTTCCGCCCGGCTGCGGGCGCGGCGGCTCCGTGCGCTCGGAGCGGGAGCAGGGCGGGGGCCGGGACGGGGACCGGGATCGGGATCGGGATCGGACCGCGGCGGCGGCCGCCACTCGCGGCCCATGGACGCCCCGCAGCTGACGGAGTCGCCGCGCCGCGACACGGACGCTCCGCCGAGCCCGTCCCCGCTGCCGCCGCCGCTTCAGCCGGCGCCGGGGAAGCAGCGGGAGGAGAAGAAAACGGCGCTGAGCAAAGTGAGGGGGCGCGGGGCGGGGGCGGCTCCGTGGGAGTGGGAGAGGGTGGGAGGACAGAGCCAGCCTGCTCCCGGGGGCCGCGTGTTTGTGACGGGAATTTCTCCATCTGCAGAAGGAGAGGGTTCATTCCCTGGGGTATTGGGAGACCCCCAGCGTCAGCGCTGGAAATCATTTCACCTTTAATTGAGAAGTCAGGGCTGGCTATTGCTGTGGCAAAGCGACTTCTGACAGGGCTAGAGCGCATCTCTCTCCGTCTTTATTCAAGCACCTTTCAAATAATACTTGCAGGCTATACAGGTTGTCTAGGGATGTCCCAGAGTCTCCCTGGCTGGAGACACTCAGAACCCACCTGGACGTGTTCCTGTGACACCTGCTCTAGGTGACCCTTGGCAGGAGGTTTGGACCGGAGAGCCCTGCCAACCCTGACAGTTCTGGGAGTCCTTCAGTACTGTGAGATTTGATTTATTCCCAGTGTTTTTTTAACTGGAAAACTGAAGAACTGAAAATTACTATAACCCAGAGCTCAGTAAAATTAAATCCAGATATTAAAGTGCTCAGAAATTAAAACAGGTGGCCTGAAGTTTGATGGCCATTTTACTGCTTTGTGTGGTGGCATCATCCAGCCAGAGGTTTCTACAGTTTCCTGGCCCTTATTATTGGGCAGTTTAGCTGGGTGTAGTGGGTTGACTCTGGGTGGCTGACCTCCAGCCAGGTGCTCTTGCACTTCTCCCTTAGCAAGACTCCCCAGGAATAAGGTATGATGGAAAAAACAAAGTGTCATCACAGGAAAAACTGACACAGCTGAGGGAAGACCTCATAGCAGCTCCTTACAGCTTTCTCACAAAGGAAATGGAGGGGCAGGCACTGATACTTTCTCTCTGGGGCCAGTGACAGGATGTGAAGGAATGGCACAAAGCTGTGTCTGGGGAGGTTCAGACTGCATATAGAAAAAGGATCTTCACCCAGAGGGTTGCTGGGCACTGGAACAGGCTCTCCAGGAAAACAGTCAGCACTAAGCCTGGCAGAGTTAAAGAAGCATTTGGCCAATGCTCTCAGGCACACGCTGTGATTCTTGGGGCAGGGCCAACAGTGGGACTTCGATGGCCCTTGTGGGTCCCTTCTAACTCCGGTTACACTATGGTTCTAACATGGAGAGAATTAATTTACTCAATGGCCAATTAAAAATTACAGAAGACTGTTGAAAATAAAGATTGTAACTGAAGCACCTTCCCACCTCCCCTCTGCCTTCCCAGGCTCAACCTCCTCTGCCTGGAAGCACTGCAGAAGGATGAGGAATGGGGGTTGCAGACAGGACATAACAGCTCCTCTCTGCTGGTCCTTCTTCCTCACACTCCTTCCCTCCTCCAGCATGGGGGACCTGACATGGGACACAGCGGGATACAGTCCTTCCTGAAGTGCTGCAGGGAGTCCCTCCCACATGCTGCAGTTGTTCATGACCTACCTGCTGCAGCACAAGCCTCCTTCATGGGCTGCAGGCCTTCAGGATAAACCTGATCCGGTGTGGACCCCTCTGCACAGGCTGCAGGACCCTGCAGGGCATCTCCACCTGCTGTGGCATGGGGTCCCCCACGGGCTGTGGGTGAATGTCTTCTCCACTGTAGTCCTTCATGGCATGTGGGGGACAGTGTGCCTCACTATGGTCTCCTTCAGGGCACTCTGCTTTGGCACTTGGAGCACCTCCTCCCCTGCCCCTTTCCTGTTTGCCTGCAGGGCTGTGTCTTGCACATTTTTTACCCCTTACTCCTCTGTCTCACCCACTGCTGTGCTACCTTTCCTGTCCATTCTTAAACACCTTTCCCAGAGTCACCACTGACTTGGCTTGAGGGGCTCGGCTGTGCCCTGGGGTGGATCCACTGGAGCTGCTGCACTCAGCCCTGGGCAGCCCCAGCATCCTCTCAGACTGCCCTGAAAAACCCTGCCAGGAGCAACTGGACACAGAGACCTATTACACTGACATACTGCTGCAACAAGACTTAAAAGCTAATTTAAAACATTTCTTAGAGATACTTTACAATTTTTATGTAATCAATATCTATTTTTTAGGTTGATTATTAAAGTGCAGTGGTTCTCAGGCTGTTCATCAAAATATGTCAATTATCCTACAGTTTCAAAACAATTGCAGGAACTGAGTTAGGGAATTTGTGCCATCTGTTTCTACAGTATTTAGATCAAATATAAATCTCCATTTCTTTTTATACGTGCAGGTGGTTATTCGAAGGCTTCCTCCTTGTCTAACCAAGGAGCAACTGGAGGAACAGCTGCATCCTCTACCTGCCCATGATTATTTTGAGTTTTGCACTGCTGATCCCAGGTGAGGATGAGCTGTTTCTGTAGGTTTTCAGGTGCTGAAAACCTAATCAAGTTATGTGGGACTTTCCAAATCACATGTTTTTCCTCTTTTTATTATTTTTCTTGAGTTACTATTATGGCCTGCCTCAGAAGGTGGGGATAACCCATGTCCTTGTTGCTAGATCCCTTGGGGCACATTAGTGTGAAACAACACTGAATGATCAGTATTTGTAAATAAACAATGTAGGATTTATTACAGAACAACTTGGCTGCAAAGGAAAATAGGTATGGAGCTGTTTTGGTGGTTATTATCTATAGTAATAGAAGATGAAAGCATTGCAATATGAAACTGCAACAGTATCACCCAAGGACACAGAGAAGGGGAAAGAAAGAAAGAGAGAGAAAGGGGAAGGGAAGGGAAACAAGAGTGTAAGGATCTCACCACCCTAAGCCTCACAACAAGACTTGATTGCTATACAGTCTTGGTCAAAGTGGTGGTTGAGTGATGAGGGAAGTCCCGAAGAAGTGGTGGGGAGGAATCGGCAGAACACATAATCTCTTGGGTTTATATTCACTCTGGTTCAGGTAAATATAAATCAGGTGCCTCCTCAGGAGCAGGCATGTAATACTGTAGATCATGGGACACTTTGGGAGTCCTCCACACCTTCTAAGACAGCACAGCTGCCCATCCCAGCAGCGCAGTCGAGTCAGTTGTGCCCCATTGCATCCCATCAGCAGAGATGAACCCGCCCAGGTCACACGTGAGTTCCCCAGCATTTCCCAGGGGTAGGAGGGGCAGCCCCACAGCCCAGTGGTTTGTGCAAGGAAGCACAGCTTAGCATGCCAAGGGGCACAATCCTGTCCACAGGATCCAGCTCTTACCTCACTCACAGCCCATCATTGACCTTATCAGATCAGAGGTTTAGCCACTACACAACTGAAAGTTCACCTACTCCATCTCAGCCAAGCACCCTGGCATCTCTACAAATGAGCAATGTTTTGAGTCACTGTCTCCGAACAGTTCAGTCTGCTTCTTAAAATATTTCTGAAAGCTGGCTGCATATGCAGAGACAATGGCATTCCTGCTCTTTTCCTTTACACTGGAGATTTTAAAGTGTTGGGGGGTTTTTTTGTACGAATAGGCCATAATGTAGTTTGAAACCTTGATGTTTGCTTTAACCTTCATTGATGAACTGTAACAGCCTGCTTTATTGCTGTGAGCAAGATTCAGTCTGGGGCAAACAATAACAGAATGTGTTAATGAGTTCCATTTGAGTTTAGTTTATTTGTTTACCTGCATGGATTTTTATGTGCTTCATACACATTTTTAAATCTAGTTTTATTCATTTTTGTCTCATGCAAAAGTAAAAAAGCAGAAATATTGGCTGATTTAAATTAAATCAGAATTGCTGGTATAGTTACATAAGTTACTCAACATCACAGTGGTAAAATGCAATTCTCTTTTGAATAAATCAGTTTCCAGAAGAGAAACAAAACACCGTGTATGCTCAATCTTCATGTGTTCTGAAAAACTGAAGATCCATCTTGTCATATTTTAGTGTGTGATGAATCACCCCTCCTCTGGCTCGAGATTCTTTCCACTGTCTCTAGAGGGATGCCAACTCTTTATTGCTGACCAAATTTTGAAGTAAGGGGTTCTCTCAGAGTCAGTTTCACAGTCAAGAAGAAATGAATGTTTATTTAGAGAAATTATGACCATTTCTGACCTAGGTAGTTGAACATGCATCAAAATAGTAGGTGCTTCAGCTTTTCTGTTAAAACCACAAAGGATGTGAAGTGAGAAAGGAGGAAAACTTACTCTGATGGAAAATCTTTGTACCTAATATTGCTCTTCTGAACTTTGTCATGTCTGTTTCCAAATGGGCCTCCTTAAGGCTTTTGTCCCAGCTGATCATTTGATAAGAGGAAAATACCAAAGGCAAACCAAAAATTCTCTGAAGAAGTGTCAGTTCTCACTGTGTCAAGATGCACAAATGCCAATTAACAGTTAAAAAAAATTCTGATTGTAAATTTCCAGAAAAGTTTGCATAAGAATTTAGGGAGTCAGCTTCTTTAGAAAAGAGAAGGCACTGACAAAAATTGCATATATAAAGTTTCATTTTCTCTCCTATGTGATGAAATTTGGATTACCCAAAAATCTTGTTGTTCACTCATTTAATTGCATCTATGGCAGGTTACCAGTGAAAGATACTGTTTTTTCTCTCACACTGTTATTTGTAATGTTATTCTCTTCTGCCTTCACAAATCTAAACTCATTAAAAAAAATTCATTCAAGTTTGAATTTTTCAGCATGAAATGTTTTGTGCTCGCTCCATTTTTCTTCATCCTGATTTTCAAAAAATGTGTTTTCAGACACAAGATGGGTTTTTTTGGAATGGGTTTATCTTTACCAGGTTTGTATGGCTACTGCTTCTTTCAGCAAACTACACAGCTTACATGGGCATTTCACTGCCATTCTGCACTGTTGGCTTGACTGATTATTTGGTTTTTGACTGGCTCAATATCACCTTGTCTCTTTCGTCACCTTTGTTCAAATGCTGACACAAACCCATGTATATCTTTTTATGAGTCATCTCTTTACCCACTGAGAAATATACAATAAACTTCCAGAAAGTAAAAGTTTAATCAAGGTTAATCTCAGTCTTCTCTTACCCAGACGAGAATACTTTTTGATATAAGGCATTATATTGCCATAGTCTGTCATTTTATGGACAGTTCACAAGATTTCAGCAAACTTTGTGCATGTGTCTTCATGTCATTCCAGCTAACAGGAAAAGCTACAGGACAAGGTTGGCATGTTTTCTTTCACTGAATAGCTTTTTTCTAGATCCTGTACCATGTGCATAGGTGGCAAGCAATCCAGAGAATTCAGTGATAACAGAAACATGTGAAGATGAAAAGAAATGTCATGTCTCCCAATGAGAAGGATTTGAAGAAGCTACTCAGTGAAGAGGATCTGTTGGAAAGGGGCATAGAGATGCTTTGATGCAGAAGCAGACAAGTTTCCTTAAGAGCTGTAACATCTCAGTTTAACCACATCCTGTGTTACTACTTCACAGAAGTATCTATAAGCTCATTCAGATTTTACAGCTTGTCAGAAATTCATGCCACGAATGATGAATGTTACAAATGGGTCAGGAGCAGTTAGACAAATACTCAGATATTTATCTATGAAAACCTATTAAACATAAGTTACAAGTTTGGTGTTACAAAGTCCCTAGGCTGCAGATACCTGTAATTATGAACTGAGTGAAGTATTTGTACATTTTCCCCTTTTAATAAATTTTCTCGTGGCATTCTCTATTGGTTGCTGTTGATAAGGGCACTAGAGAGGTCTAACTGTAGCTGTTTCTACATTTTTATTTCCAAGATTATTCATCCTAGAGGACAAAACAAAGATATGCGTATCAGCTCCAGTTTCTCTGTTTTTGTAATCTTTATAATATCTTTGTGTTATCTATAAGTTTACAATGTCGTGTTATAGGCAAGCTATAAAACTTTTCCAAGTTTCATGTGATTAGTGTAATTTTCAGTTTTTCAGTTACATCCATTTCAGTAAAATCATTTCAGAAAGTGACTTGTGTTTTGTTTCTTTTTCAGACTCATCTGACTTACTGCATTACATTTATTTTCTCTTGCATATTGACATCAAAATACTAACAAAACACTGTTTATAGATGATAATAAAGATAGACTGTTGTGTACTCAGACTTCAAATATTAACTATTTTTCCGGACACTCTTTCCTTTTTGTCTGCTAGTAAAGGTTTCTGAGCCTATTCTAAAGTGATGGATCTCTGGCCCTTCAGGGTTAGGGTAGTCTCTCTGGGCTGGCAGTGAGTGCTGGGTGCCTGGAAGTGTTGACAGTGTTCTGAGGTTATGAAAGGAAAGAGATCTGAACACAAGCCTTGCTCTCATGAAAACGGTTCAAATAGTGCCATGCCATGTATCACAGAGTGATAAAGCGTTTCCAAAGAGCACTCCATTTCCCTCCATAACTTCTTCCCACCATTGTGCTCAGGATTATTGTAGCTAAACAGCATTAGCACTGTAGGATGTGGGTTTGCACCCAGGAACTGCAGCACTGAAGGGGCAGTGCCCTTAGTGCTTCAAGGGAACCACCACTACTGTGTTCTGGGTGAAATAATTGACAGGCTTTGATTGGCACAACTCTGGTGTTTCTGCTTTCTCTGCCAGGCAAACTGCTCATTTATAGCTGTAAAAAGGAAAGACTAAGCTTATTTAAAATTGTGCCAGTTCCACCCATAACGTGAATGACCACACAAGATGACGAGGATGAAGGCCAGGGGATTTTAGCTTGACATGACAATGTTGATGATGAGTTATCAATTACTGTGTGGGTGGGTGGAGGAGCTATTTGACTCCAAAATTTAGTTGTAGAGCTCTATATACATGTAAGTATATATTTTATAAATGCCCACCATGATTCATGAGTTGATATGTATTTTACTAAGATGAGATTGCTGGTTTTATAGTTAATATGTTGCTGTTTAGACTGTAAATAACTATTTTAAATAGTATATCAATATTTTTACACAATTGTGTTAAAAGGTACTTTGTAGAAGAAGTAAACATTTAGAATGTGTTTGTTATTAAAATTGCTAGAAAAATAAGAACTTAAAAAGATGATAGACTAAGTGTTACAGAAATAAATGTACCCTGAAAGATTGAATACCCTTGAGTGCAGAGCAGAAAAAGAAAAAGAAACAGTGTGTTGGAATGAATAAATGTGTGCACTCAGACTCCTCTGGGTTATTTCCATAGAGATTGCTCCAAGTGCTGACATGTGCAGTGCATCTGTCCAAAACATTATACGTATGGAAAGCAGCATTATAGGCAGCAAACATATGGCAAAATGGAACCAGCTCTTGGATGAGAAAACTGAATTTCAGATCCTGAATGAAATCTTTGGTGTTAGATACTTGAAAAACGGAGGAGACACACAGAGTTCACTTCTGTAGGACTCAGCTGGAAGACAAAATCCTGAAGAGTATAGAGTATTTTAGCCAGTAACTGCTAAGTACTAAGTACAAAAGTCAAGCAAGAGTGTTTCTTCCTAGGAGGGGTTGTTAGCCTCAGAGTGCCTGAGCCTGTGAAGCCCTGTGCATTCTTTGCTGCATGACCATGCTGTTGAGTTCTGAATGGATAGGTAAAGACAATCCAGGGTGGGGAGTAGCTGCTGAAAGTTATGTGTGAAACCTAGAGTAAAAGTGATATATATGCAAGCTAAGTGTTTTAAATTTGCTAGGTTTAGTTAGCTTCCCACCTAGAATGTTAATTTTACTCACTTTTTTAAAGCACACTGTACATTGTGCTGGGTAAGAGACTTAAGACAAGGGTTTGAAACACTCATTTGGGTGTGTTTTGTGCACTCAGCACTCTGACAGCTAACTCACATGCATATGAGAACCAACTGTTTTGTGGAAGTGGCTCCATGAGAGAAGCGTTGTCACAGCTCTGTTTCTGCAACCTTCTACCCCAATACATAGCTACAGCAAAGGACAGACACTGCTGTGTTATTGTGCTGCACACCAATATCCTGCTGTGCTCAACCATGCTTTTACATTGTTGTATGTTTCTGCTGATGCGTGTGAAGTTACTGAAGATGTTGGTAATGTATAGCAACAACACTAGATCCCTTACTTGCAAGGTAAATTCTAAATCTGTTTTCCACAATCCTGTTTATACAGATTCAGTTCTTTCTTACTAATGAGTGCTTAATAACCATATCAGATGTTCCTCCATTTTGAAAAATATTCACTCTGTTTAAGCTGAAAAAGCTAGAAAAATATGTTGTGTACCAGGAAAAGATTATGTTGCCAAAGAAAGTGAAAGAGATGGCATTGATATACCAGCTAAAGGAAACAAGGAAGGAGCAAGCCTTTGTATTTTCCATTCTGTTTCCCAATGTGTCTAACCATAAGTTAGACAGGTTCCTACAGGATAAAAAAAAAAATCCAACTGTATGATGAAGCTGCTTGCTGCTTGCACTGAGGCAAAGTAGTGGAGGAGCCACAGCAATGTAGGAGTGGACCCTTTTCCAAGTAACAGTCTTTAATCTGTAGAAAGTTTTAGTATTTTACAAAAGCTGAAGATGAAAAAAACAGTGGAGTAGTTATCTAGACTAGGGACTAAAACTTAGTTCCTCAATCTCAGGTAATAATAACTGGAATGAAAAATAATGCTCCCTCAAGATTCCTGGTTTTGTCTGATGAATATTTAACTCTTCAAGGGTACAGTCATATCAGTCTAATGTCAGGCCTTGTTTAATTTAAACCTCAAAGCACATGAAAGATAAGAATAGTGCTGTTGATGTGACAGAGAAGAAAGTTTCCTTCTTCATGAGAGCCCCAGTTATCTGAGACTTACTGTTATAGCCATTAGGCAGCACAGAGACATTGCTTCCAGTACAGCTATAGGTTGCCACAATAAAATTCCCTCCTTTACTTACACATTTTTAAATAAATCTTTTAACTCTGTGTAATTATGAAAAGTGTTAAATTTTGTCTTCTTTGAAATCAATGAGAAGAAATCTGTCTTTTTATATCTGCTTTGCATCTTGGTGAGAACTCTACAGCCATGCTATAGCATCTCTCAGCCCTGGCATGCCCTAGCAGACATTTTTGCAGTCACCCACTTACCATTCACACGATGCTGTTCCTATCCTAGAATGACAAAATATTTGGGTATATATGGATAAAATGGCTCTTCCTCTCTTCCTTGGAAACAGTTTGTCTTCTTCAAGCTGTAGAAACTTTTCATAGCTGGTATTTACAAAGTAGCTAAATGAAAAAAGCCCTCTAGGTGGTTTTGGTTTTTTAATATTTCTTCTGACTACAGGATAAAACACAAAATTGGTGGGTGTACAAAACCATTGGTGATTGACAGCACTGCTCTTTATGGTCTCCTCCTAACACTGTAAGTGGAATCTATATGGATGCGTATTTAAAAATAAATTCCTTGGAAGCAATGTTGCTTTGAGCTGCACATGTATGGATCCTGTGATCCAATCCATATTTTTGCTCTTTCTCACTCATTGTGAAATCTGATTTTGAAAGAGCTATGGGATTGAAATAGAATTGCAGCTGTGTGTGTTTATTGTCTCCTGGTGCCAGTGGCGAGTTGGTCTGAAGACAGGCCATAGGTGACAATGGAATTATGGAATTACAGGTATTTTAAAGATGTGGGCTTGTGTTAAGATTTGTTCAGAACTTGATGTAATATGTAGTCATCATTAAGTCAGTTTAGTACAAACTGACTTATATATTATATAACAGTTTTTAAAGCATGTACGTGCCATGACTCACAATAACTTAGCTGATGGGTTCTAATTCATTAAATTACCTCAGTTTCATCGTGGTTGTGGTGTGCCAGCCCTGAGGTTTTTATCAGGCACATTAAACATTTACCCATGGAGTGGGATCTATGCCAATACATTCTTGAAGAATCAGAATTAAGTACCTGTTTCTTTTGCTATGCTTTGGATTTTCACAGCAACTGTTGGTCACAACTAGACATTGCATGTACATTGATAACACATGGATGTCTGATGGAGTTTATTTGTGTATAATTCAGTGGATTATATTGCCAACTCTTAGGGTTTTTATTCTTCCTTAAATGTGGAAATCTATTTAAATACAGTGACAGCCTGGAAGCTGCCCCTTCACTGCAGTCTTTTACTTAATCTTTCCTTTTCAGTGATACAAGACTTTTCTTAGTACGCCCAAGAAGTTCCCCAAAAGCACTGCTGTTATTTATATCTCTTAAATAGGGAAATGTTAAAGTTTTGATCCTGCACAGTTGGAAATGTATGCTCTGCAATTTAGGGGGACAAAATAAACTGGAAATATTTGTGTCAGTTCAGAATAAATTTCACAGTTGCATATAGAGCTCTGATGTTCTGTTTCTTTTTTTTCATTTATATATCATTAGATGTGTAAATGCAAAGACTGCTTAAGGTAGCAGTTTCTCAAAGATGAGAATTATGATGTGATCCTTCTGGTTTTATGTTTTCCCTAGCCCTGAAAAGAATAATAAGTAACATAAAATAAAATTTCTTGTTGCAGCCTTTATCCTCATCTCTACTCAAGAGCATACATTAACTTTAGAAATCCTGAGGACATCCTTCTTTTTAGAGATCGTTTTGATGGCTATATCTTCATTGATAATAAAGGTTGGATTATTTGTAAGATATTAAATGTGTATGTATACATATATCAGTTTAGACCATCAATTTGCTCTCTTTTTCCTAGTTAGGCCATTATTTCATCACTACGCAGTTAGTTACATAAAAATATGTTAACATTTATCACTTAAAATATAATAAAGTGCAAAGTATATTTGTCCATGCAGTTTTGCTTGTCTATGTGGTGTGCATGCTTTATGTGCATTCTTGTACTTTAGGCAATGCACTATCAAGATCATATTAAGAAAATTACCTTATGCAAGCTTCACAATTCATTACAATAGTAACTGAACACATTGTGAGCACGGATTTTTTTACATCTTCAGCGTTTCTGAGCTAAAGTTCTGCCACTTACTCCTGTTTGGAACAAGCAAAAGGAAACCTTCAACATTTTGGTTGCCCACTTTTAAGACATGTAGAGGTTGAATTTTTAGGGCTTTTGCAGACATCTTGAGTTGAATTCTGAGAACAAGAATGGCAAAATTTATTGCCCGTTTTAAAATGTTCAGTCTGCAAATGTTTGCCCAACAGTAAAGAAAAAGTCTGTAATGTAGATATGGATAAATCCAGATCTTCTGCAGGAGTATGAAACTGCCATCAATAAGAAGTGGTTTAGCAGAATTTTAGCAGTTCCTTGCCTCATTCAGACATAGCTTCTCTAAAAAATTGCATAGGTTATGTAAAATAGACATAGATTTGTGGCTCTCTTGTACAGACATTTTCTAATCCATATACACAGTGTTGCAGAGGTCCTGTGAAAAGTAGTCCTGCCCACTTTTACTAGAAACTGATCCCTAAAGAGGCTGTCAAACTAATGAATTCCTCTTCAGCATTTCCTACCTGAGATGTTTTATTTACCTCTAATATCCCTCAGATTTAGATGGTTTTTGTAGAGATGAACAACACGTTCCTAGAAGTGTGCATTTCCCAGATTTAAAATTCTGTGTGTTTTAAGATTTAAAACTAGAAAGAAGTTTTTTTTAATGTTTATCCTAAGACTTTGCCTAAATTCAGCAGTAGCATGCGGGACTGAAGCCAGAATACTGTGCAAAACTGAGCTTGGACACAGTTGGCCAGTTTGACATGATTGCTTGTACAATTAAAGAGCACAAGGTTTGATCAGAAGTGCTCTCTGCTGAGGCTTGTGGCAGCGTTGCATTATGAGGCTAAACTGAAACAAGGATTAGCAGGTTCAATAAGGTTAACAAATGTTCTAGCAGACTGAAGACAAGTTTTCTTTGAACTTGAGCAAAGTGTAATCTTGAACCTGCTGCAAGTGGAAACCAAGTGCAATTCAAAACCCACGCACGGTTCTGCCTCCAGTGCACAGAAGAAGCCAACTCAAAGCAAAGAATCCCTGCCAGTAAAAACACAGGCAGGAGTCGCACAGTCCATCGTAAACAGAGAAGTTACACACAATTGTGTGTGCTGAGTTTTACAGTTGTGGTTCTGAAAGGAGATGCTTTGTTGTTTTATTGCATATTACCTGGCATTTACTTATTTTTTAGGCTTTTAGGCAACAAAGCCTTAGAAAAGCAACTCAACAGTTCCAGATTGATTTCACAATAGCACTTAATCACTTGTCAGACTGAGATTTTGTGACAGATTTTTCTAACCAATTTCTGTGAATAATTAAAAGGGATCTATAAATAACATTGCAAAAAATTTATTTTGCAACAGTATTCATCCTCATTTTCAGTCTTATCACCATATCCAAATAAAAGATCTTTTAAAAAAATTTTAAATACCTCTACATGTAACTTTTTATTAGAAGTTTAGGATTGAGTTGTAGAAACATTTATTTTTGTTTTCACATAAGATTTCCCAACACATGTTCAAGAGTTCAGAAGATCTTACTTGAAAGTAGGGAATGTTTCTCCCCCTCAAAAAAATTAAGGATTGATTTCTTTTAAGGTTTGGAATATCCTGCAGTGGTTGAATTTGCTCCATTCCAGAAGATTTCAAAAAAGAAACTGAAGAAGAAAGATGCCAAAGCTGGGAGCATTGAAGATGGTAAGCATCTTTTCTTGACATCACAGTGGGAAATTTCTGTTAGGTATTACAAAGTGTTAACATAACTCTTTTTCTTCACAGATCCAGAATATAGGAAATTTTTAGAGAATTATTGTGCTGATGAAGACAAGATCTGTGCCAATCCTGAGATTCTTTTGGGAGAGATTGAGGCCAAAACAAGGGAACTCATTGGTCTGTTTTCTTGATTTTTCTTATTATTGAGAATATTCAATATCTTACTTTTTTATCTTTATGATGCTAGCTGCAAGAGCTGACCTGTTCAGTCCAGCAGATTTATATTACTAGTTAAATATTTGTTTTCTAGGCAAGTAGTAGCAGTAAACCTTAAAGTCTCTATGCATGAAATCACTTGGTTTCACTTCAACTTTTGCATGAACACACACTGGCTTCAGAAATAGGTCCTTAGTGCTTCTGAATGCTTACAGATGTATTAGTAGATGGAAGATTTATTTTTAAAATACGAAATAGCTGAATACTTAACCATTGATCCCTGATACAAGCTGTTTTTATTATGAAACATGAAATGATCTCTCTCTGTTCTCATGGCCAAGATTCTGGAAAAGCTCTGAAAGTAAGGCAACACCTTGTTTTCTGTATGCATGCAGCATGGCTTCCACAGTCCTGGGGGGAATTTTAAATAAGGTGAGCACTGATATCTTCAGTGCTAGTATGCAGTTTTAAATCAGAGGAAATCAAACTAGTTGTTTTATTTTCCCTGCCATTCAAAGCTGTGGCCATTGCTATCAATACAAAACCAAAGATTTCTTCAGCAGGTAGCATGTTTATAACAAAATTATGTAAGGGTTTAGCTGTGTGTCCAGTTTCAAAGGTGTTACTCCTGCTGATGTCAATGAAGGATGTGCCCAAGACTTTGCTGGCAGAATTGAGCCTCACATGCTCAGAATTTCTCCATGTAAAGTTACTACAAACCAACATGTTTTATGCATCATGCCAGATGTGTTGACTGATCAGTTTCCACATGACAGAGAGATATGAAAGAGATTTTCTCTGTAGCAAGATGAAGATAAGCAATTTCTTCTGGTTTGTTTGTAGACAGCAAGATAAAACGTAAAGTTTTGCTCTTCATTTAGTAATTTTTTTTTTAAAGATTCTTAAACATTTTAGGAAAATGCTCTTAGGTTTGTATTTGCAGTAAGGCACATAAATAAGATGGGTAAGATTCAAGTTTGATAAACATTTTTTTTCCCCCCTTTGTCTTTTGGTAGTTCTCATCACATACTGCTTCTCTCCCTTGAACTTCAAGTTATAATTTCTCATTAAACCTCTTGCACTACAGTCTTAGTCATTACTAGGGTCAAGTTCTGAACTCTCAGTGCAGCCAATCCTTTCCCCAGACCTTCCAGTTACAATCTGTGATCTCTTTCAGCATGTAAAGGTGCCCAGAGGCAGCCACTGCTCAGGCAGGGGAACTTAGGGAGCAGGAGAGAGAGGCAAAACTCAGATCTGAGGAACTGGAAGGGGGCTCTGGGGACCTAAAACTTGTCAAAAATGATGGGCAGGTGGGGAGGATGGGGAGGCATGGAAAATCTAGGAACAGAGGGAGAAAAATATTAAATCAACAATCTTTATTGGTTGTTGATTCCTACCACTGATACTTGCTAAAAAGAAACAGTGAATCCTATCAGCCTTCCCATTCATAACTGTGTAGCAAAATTTTGTTATTAATGAATGTGTTGCCCCCAGCATAATCCAACTTTCAATGCAAAAACATTTAAATATTTTTGGTGCAGCAGCGGCGACTGACTTCCTCTAAATGTAGATTAATTTAATATGAATTGTGTCTAGATTTTGGCCATGTCATTTCAAATTTGTTGAAGACTTTTCTAACTTTTTTTCTTTCTTTTCTTTCAAATTTTGTCATATATTTCAATAGGGAATGTTTTTCTGTGGTGTGAGGGAGAATCCAATACACAACTGTAGAGCAATTTCAAGTAATAAACATTTTCTGTTCTGGGATATCTAAAACTGACAAAATTTGTTGTAACTACTCACAGCTGTAAGTACAGGCTGAATTGAAGTCTGAATTCAGTACTGACAGTCATGAATAAAGAATTTGATAAGGAGCATGATAAAGAATTTGATGATGTTCTCCAAGTTTTTGTAGAATTTGGGGATGGTTCAGGCAGGTGACTTGATTTCAGAGCATGGAGATAGCTCTGTAATAAAAGAATGGCTGTGTGATCCAGTAGATGAGACCTTTTATTAGCAATTTTGGAAGCCACAGTTTTAATGGATATGCTAATACTTTGCTGTGTAACCTGAAACAAACTGCTTATCTGTTATTCCTCCTGTTTTCCCGTGGAAAGGTGAATACTAAATGTCAGGTAAATCAAAATGTTATACGAGACTGAAAATGTTTCCTTCATTATGTACTTTGAAAACCAGGATTGAAATGTGCTATGTGAGATTACAGTAATGTGGGCTGTATATGAATGACAATATAGCTAGGTTTTGATGTACAGAAGTAAAATGTAGGAATAGATTCTGAACACATTTCTTTCTTTCTTTTGGTAAAATAACCATTCAGTGAGCAAAAGAGAAAAGCCATTCTCTTGAACTGAAAGGATATGATATTTAATTAAATATCAAATAATCGTGCAACATATTTCTGTTGCTTCTAATGCTAACAGCAAAAAAGTAATTAAGTGTTTCTAAAGCAGAACGATGGGAATGCCTTCAAAAATACATGAGACAAATAGGTTTATCAATGACTTAGCTCCCTTTCAGATAAAGCTAGAAAAAGGGGGTTAATACTAAAGCAAAGAAATGAGTACATTTTAGGAGTTGAACACTATATCACAAATTTTTTGTGTTTTAGCTAGAAGAACAACACCCCTTTTGGAATATATTAAAAATAGAAAATTAGAAAAGCAGGTACGTTCAGACTTTTGCCTGAAGTTCCACCTTTATGTTTCATATGGTTTTCTGTTGGACAATTTACAATTAATCATTATTGAACTCTTCAGAGAATACGAGAAGAGAAAAGAGAAGAACGAAGGCGGAGAGAATTGGAGAAGAAACGTTTGCGGGAGGAAGAGAAAAGGAAGCGCAGAGAAGAAGAAAGACGTAAAAGAAAAGAAGTGGAGAAGCAAAAGAAGATTTCTGAAAAAGAAATAAGGATCAAGGTAACTGAGATCAGTGAAAAAAATTATTCTTCTTTTGAAGTTATCTAGAAGTTCTTTGGTATCTCAGTGTTTGTTCAGTGTACAACAGCACAGTGTGGAGACACCAAACCAGTTTTGACTGGAAGGGAAAGCAGTGTAGGGCTTTGACAAAGTGTTGTTTGAAGTGTGACTGATGGCCTTACTTACCATGGTGTGCTGCTGCAGTTAGAGCAGGTAACTCAGACACCTTCAGACAACTCTGCTGCATTCTGTGCCAGCATTACCTGACAGAACCAAATTGTTCTGTGCCAGCCTGCTGGAAGATTATTGTGTGTTTGATCCCCATATGTGCCATTCACTTAAGAGCTGGACTGGATGATCCTTGTGGGTCTCTTCTAACTCAGAATATTCTGTGATTGTGTGTTTCTGTGAAACATAGCTCTAACACTTTCTGTCATGCAAATCTTCAGTTGGCCATGTATGCAGAGACACATATTTCTGTTTATGCTCAGAACTGATGTATTTTAATTGTATGGTAATTTCAGGTTGCACTGCCTTTCAGCAATCTGAACGGATTTTAATGCCATCACTTAAGAGGGTGTATCTTGTGCTATGAAGTCAGGCCATATAAAACCATGTTATTTCTGTAAGATTACATAGATAAAACTGTTCATCTGAACCAAATTTTTTGTTATTGGAAAGGCTTTATGGGCTGCTGTGAAGATGACATTTGGTATAAAAATCTGTAGCATAAAGCAAGAACACAGAGACTTGACTCAGATTTAGTGGTGGTGAGAAGCCACAGAACTGTGGACATCTTTCCTCATTTGTTCTTGGAAAACAGTTTACTTCACCTAAAAGTATAAAAATAGCAAATTCTGAAGCTGAATTACATGTTTTTCATATCTGGGCATTAAAAAAAAATACTCTAGAAGTTCATAAGAAAAGGGACTTAATCCTTAAAATATATTACCTAAAAATGCTTGTCCAAAAAGCCCCAGTATTCATGACGTATCTGTGGTGATATGACCCTGAAAGCTATTTCTGTCTCTGAAAGAAAAGGAAAATATTACCTGAGACAAACGTTATAGAAGTTTCAAATATTGGAGTAGATTAACCTGTACTCATTTCAGAAACAAAATGGTGGAATGGAAAGACTGAGGTGTTCTGCCTAGAATTGATATGGTAGGGTAATAATTTGAGACAGTTGGTCCTTCTATAAAGATTATGCCTGTAATACTATACTCTGCTGAAACCCTGTATGGGTTGCTATGAAAGGAACAGACTTCTTGAAAATCCTAATCTTCAAGGTGAAAATGTAATGACTTCTCTTCTGCTAATATCACAAGTTTTTCCTCATCTGTATTTTTGTCAGGATGTATTAAGCACCTACTTCTACATGCTTGTCTATCCCAATTCATGTGACTCACATTTTATACATAATATTTCAAGGAGTGAAGTATTAATCCCTCTCTCTTTGTAGTATTGTAGAAGTTCTACTTCTTATTTTATGGGCAATGACATTGAGCTCTGTTACATGATTTCTAAGAAACCATAGACCATAATAATGTCTTTATATTTATAACTCAGGAGAAAAGAGTAGGTAAGTGCTCTGGGAAGAATAGGTAAGTGCTTTCTTCAGTATTCTCCACATATTTGAGTGTGCAGTTGAATGCCTGTTAATGACCATCACTCCTTAGCAAATGTAAACCACCCTTTAAAAATAACTTTAAATTTCATACTTGGTAAAATACATTCCTAGCATGTAAATAAGGTATCTCCAGTCTTAGCAGGTTACTTAGTGATATATTTAGTACTTGTTAAAATGTCTGTACAGTAGAGAAGAATAATTTTGCATCACAATATAAACAATTATCTCTTAGCTTCTCAAGAAGCCTGAAAAAGGAGATGAACTGGCCAGTGAAAAGCACAAAGAAAAAGGTGAAGAAGCTGACATTGAGGAAAATAAATGGGATAAATCACCTGGATCTGGGAGTATAAAATCCAAATCTTTGGAGAGTTCACTAAAAGAAATTAAGGAAAAGTAAGTAATATTTATCTTTTAGTCTTTAATTTAGATCTTAAATGCTTTCATCACAAGGCTTAAATATAAGTGGTGCATTGACAAGATGTTCTGTTGCCAAAGAGCCAATTTCATTCTGTGTGTGAACAAATCTCTTCCTGTTGTTTTGGTACAAGGTGTTTCGTAAAAATTTACTGACCTGATGGCAGTATTAGTGGATGCAATTTGTTGTTGGTGAAATGCTATGAAATCCCTGATTGGAAGGATTTCTGCATGAAAATTCAAGTCATTCAAGTAGTTTTGATTGTTGTTATTTCACCTGTTCCCCATCAAGAGCTCAGGTAAGGCTTTCCTTCCATTAATCATGTCAAAGACTAAATTGTCCACAATGCCATATTTTTCCTTCACGTGTGGGTTGGCTGCAATAAACCTATAAATGTTTAGGTAAGTGGGACAATGGCAAAATAGTGAAGCTGTGAATGAAAGCCTTATGATAGATACAAGCAGTAGGTTGTCTCTATCTCCTGCTGCCTTTTGTGTTACCTTTGCAATGGTAGGAACAAAAGGCATAGCTCAGTTCTATTACTGCTGTAGCCTGGAAATGACTCATCTTACAAGTGTTTTCAGCAGTTGGTTCTCTTTCTTGTCCTTTGGCACATGAGTCCCTTTGCAAGCAGGATCTACCCATAAGATATGCAAGATAAATAATGAAGAAAAATATGTGTGTTCTGAATGTTCCTGAAAAATTCCATGTCCTGAAACTCTGAAATTGAAAATATTCAGCAACTTCTTTATTGATGGTTTTCAAGAAAGGAAACAGAACAGGCTCAACAGAAACACTTGCAGGGGCAAATCAGTTGTTTGCTACTTACAGAATGTTTCAGGTTAGAATGGACCTTTAAGATCATCAAGTCCAACTGTTAACCCAGCACTGCCAAACTGCCATTATACACTGTGTCCTTAAGTGCCATGTCTACATGTCTTTTAAGTACCTCCAGGGATGCTGATCCCACTACTTCCCTGGCCTTTTATGAATTAAACTTTTGGTGGTGCCATGTAACACCATTGTTTGCTATTGATGAAGAAAGTTTAATTAGACATTAATGTAGATTTTGCTCATGTAAAACAGAATTCATTTGGCTGCACAGGTACAATAAGCATTACCTTGTGTTTCAAAGTGCTGTTTTCATCTTGATTTTTAGTGGGTAGGTAGCAAGATATGAACTATTTCAGCTGGATTGAGATTTAGAGTTGAAACTACTTTGTCACTGACCCAGAAATTGGTAATAAGCTGTAACTGCCAACTCTACCTGCAGGAGACTGAACTTCCTGTTTGAAACCATGTCAAAGGCTTGGTAGCAATAACTTCCTACCACAAATCAAAATCTCAGTAGGTGCATAAGTTACATGGTCAAATACGGATTTGAAACTGCATCAAACAGAAGTGCTTCCATTCCCTTTACTTCTATTCATTTCTGTTTTCTCGGACTGTGTAACTTTGTCCTCTACCTATACTCTGAAATTGCTTACCCTTCCATTTCCACTCTTGCCTGCCTGTTCATTATGACTGAATTTTAGGAATCTACTTTAACCAGTCTTGGAACAGGAGTTTGTATCCCTGTCACCTGCCTGCCTTCAGACAGAGCACTTCCACCCCAACAGTAATAGACAAGGGAAGAGACAAGTATCAGGCAATACTGCAGCAACAAATTGAGGGGATCTTTCTGGCTTTTTGGAAGGTCTTGCCCTGATCCTTGCTAGGACTTGGAGTTAGGTTCTGGAATAGCTAATATAGTATTATATGTAAATATATCCATGCTACAGGTACAGGGTCTGTGTACCTGTGGTTGGTTCAGGTGTCTGTGACAGCTGGGACAGATGTTGCCTCCACGTGGTGAATGTGTTATGCTGAATAACTTAACTTCTCATTCAGGTTCTGCTCTGAGTTTCAGCTCGTGACAGCTGGGACAGATGTTGCCTCCACGTGGTGAATGTGTTATGCTGACACACGATCAGTCTTGCAAAATGCTGAATAACTTCTCATTCAGGTTCTGCTCTGATTTTCAGCTTTTCCTGAGATGGAGACCCTCTTTTGGCAGGCCCACTAATGCCCAAGTTCATGAAAGATGCTACCAATTTTCACATTTCTGTTATATGAAAAAGAAAAGTTTTATATATATAGATACATTTTTATTTGTATTAAATAATTCCAAATGATTCACTATTTGATCACCACCAAAAAATCTCCATCCTCTCTGATTCTAAGTAACTAACATACATTCTATGTTAGTTATTATGAGACTAACGTAAGTAACTTGCTGTTTCAATTTTAAGTATTTATACATATGTAATGAAAAGAAACTGCCTGTATTTGTTCCTTTTGAAGTTCAATCTATTTTGTGATCTTCATTATTTGCAGTCTTGCCATATGAGAGAAGCACCCATTTGCTGAACTGGAACAATGAAGTGAATAAGAGCTGAGAATTTTATCACACAGGCAGCAAAATATTGCCAATTGTCTTTATAATATAAACCTTTACAGCATAGCAGAAATTAAGTATCATGTTGTGGTAAGGTAATGATCTTTGTCGAAATAAAATATGAAAAGGCAGGCTAGATTATTTTGAGGCATAATAAACAAAAGCCTGGAACATAAGTATTTATTTTCACAAAAGTCCTCTGCAAGTTATGATATCAGTAAATAATTTTTGTTATGCAGAGACATGAAATTCACAAATTGATACGTGATACCTGCACAATTCCTTCAGATCATGAATGTTCCTGTTCAAAGGAATACTTCCATGCATGACTCGCCTCAGTGTCAGAGTACAAGAGCTAATAGTGCAGCATATGTGTTTATATGAAGGGTATTGGGGAACTCTTGAGAGGATTTCAAAGAGGGCTAGAAGGTGAAGAATGGGCCTTCCTCAACAGTTGCACAAAAGCTTGGTAAAGCTTTGTATGCAATTCTGAACCAAATGCATGGGTGGACATACATGGGTGAGACATTCAGCATTTAACCCTTTGTGATGAGAAGAAAACAACCTTGCTATATAATTTATCTACACACTTTTGAAGTCAAAGGAAGGGTTTGACTTGTATCTTTCTGTAGCTCCTTTTTACTGTTAATTGTTTGGATTTTCTTTCTTTTCATACATACTCATAGGCCACAAAATGATAGTGACAAAGAGCAAAGAGATTTGGAGAGAAGATTTCGAGAAAAAGAACCTGAAAGACAAAGGTATCGATTGGATGATGGCAGAAAGCATAGAACTCACTATGAGTTTGACAAGTTTATGAGAAGGAATGAAGAAGAGCTGAAATGGGGGAAAGGATACAACCAAGACAGAGGGAAGAAAGGGAACTACAACTACAGCTTCACTGTGGAGGCAGTAGACAAACTGGGTAAAGAGGACAAGTGTGATGACATGGCATCCAAAAAGGAGCGCATAAGAAATAAGGTTCTTTTATTCATTTAGGATAATCTTTCATTAGTTAATATGGTTCAAGATCACAGGTTTTAACTTCTGCAAATTCAGCATAAAGATGCTTTTTCAAAAGAATTCCTTATCTCATTTTCAGTAAAACCCAGATTTCTTTCTGGATTGTTGTCAAAGGACAACAGCAGTTAAAAGAAGTTAAGGTTACAGGCTCATTCATATTCACAATATATAGAAGACTTTCTGTCTTCATTTCATCCCTGTCATTTGAAGAATACTATTCTTGGAAGCCTTACATTTTATAAGTATATTAAAAATCGTTACACTTCTGGTGTGTAATGGAATTTAAAAACAGTGGCATGTTAGTCTTTTGAAAACGTACTTCCATTACTCTCATAAAGTAATTATGTTATGGATTTGCCAGGCATTGCTTGGTAGAGCAACAATAAGGACTTAAATAAATAGCTAATTCAGAGAGCATGAATGTATGGATTCTTAAGTATTGCATACCTGCTAGTATGAAAAGGCTGTCATTTCATCAGGATAAATTTATCCTGATAGCTGTTGTCAGGGGAAGAGCAGATGCAAAACCAGTGTGAGCAGAGCCTGTATCAGGGTGTGTAGTAGTCCCTTATTGTCTCCCAGAGATATGGGTATAATTTTTTTTGGGCTGGCTGATTTCACGCATGTGCCAGTCTTTTCAGGATGTGTCTCTCCTTGTCAGCCCCCCTCTCTCTCTCTTGATCCTAGATTTTTCTCAAAAGATGACCAAAACACTGTTAGCATAGAAATTTATTCTGCATGTGAAACTCTTCTTTCAAAGCAAGTGACTGATCTGTACTGTGGGCTAAGGCTGACAAGAGTAAACTGGTCGCATGCAGAGTGAGTCTGCATGGGGTGTGCAGGGAAAAAGTTCAGGTGGACTCACTGTGCATGTCAAGGAAGTCATCTTGTGCCAACACAGAAAGCCTGGTGTGCCCTGAGGTTTTTTTTATGCAGAGGTCAGCTGGGCAGGATGGCTAAGATTTATCTGCATTTACACATTAGCCACTTTCTGCATCAGTGGCTCTACATTTTTCTGTAGAACAGTCAGAAAAATGGCTGGTTCAGAAACAGGAAGATTGGAAAAATATTTTTTTCTTATTCTTGCCATGCTCTTCTTGAAATCTGTCAAAATGATCTCCAGCCTTGGAATTGGATGGTGGGTCTTGGGCCCTTTTGGCAAGTTTTAAGAAGCTTCCTGCTTTTTATTTCTTTGCATCACACTTCTGGTACCTTGCTGAGTCCCTGGATTAGTCCATACTTAGGACTAAAATACTAGATTTGTTCCCTAAAAAAATAAGCACCATCAGTAAGGTATTTTGCAGTGTGGTGACTTTTTTCCTTAGGGGCTCAGTTTTACAACTTAGGTATAGCATTGACAATGCCAACACAAATTTTAATCAGAGATAGAACCTCTTTCTGAAGTTTGCAGGAATTAATTAGAAAATGGGAAATTTCCAGTGTAAGTAATGTGATAGCTTTTATACAAACCACAGGCTACAGAGGCTGTGGCAGGAAAAGTCATGTGGACCCTTTATCATAAACTTTTTAAAGGGCACTGCTTGAGGATCTACTTTTATGCAGCTGTTTGGGATATGGAAGAGTGTGTTATGCATTTCATACCACACTGCAAAGCACTAACTAGAATGATCTAGTCATAAGGCTCAGTAGTGAATCTTGACATCTGGTCTAAAGAGAAGGAGAAAAAAAGTGGGTGAAAAAAAGATGGAAGAAAAAGAAAAGGGGAAATGCACATTGGGAATAAGAAAAAAGAATGAAAGAACAAAAATCCCGAATTACTTCAAAGTTACTTATTATTACTTATTACATTACTTACTTCATTATGAAGGAATTGAAAATTGGTATAGTTTGATGTAGGACAGTTTCTGTGCCCTGTTACTGTCTTTAAGTAAGGCTGCTGGCTGTTTGCTGAACTTAACACAGGACTCATCAAAAAGCTCAGGTATTGGTGAGCTTTTGGTTGCTTCACAACATTATTTGAAAGTAGAATACCCTTACCAGGAAGAGACTTCTTAAGCAGAGTTTCTAACTGGTGTGTTTTACTAATGAAATTTCAAAAATAAAGAGTGCTCTGAAAAGCATCACCATTCTCAGGTTTCAGGTGTCTTTTCCATGTAAACTGGTTCCTTCTTCCATTTTCTCAAGATGAGAGCAGCGTGTGTATGATTGGGTCACTCATACAGCCTGCACATGCTCAACTTGTACTTACTTTGTTTATTATCAGTGCGTAGATTCCCTTGCTCTCATACTCAGTATGGAAGGCAAGATGAAGTGGAGGAAAAACTGGGCAATTTTATTTTGATGTGTATAATTCAAATGTGCATTGCATGTTTAAATTCTGGTAAGGATTGGGTAATGATTGGTGATGAGTTGAGGATAATTTTCTAGCTGCTACCTGCTGTCCTGTTCTCTAGTATGTCTTGGATTTTTATGCTTATATATAATATTTGACATTTCATCTGCAGAGTTGCAATGCACAGGCTATTGTTCTTCTCAGCTGATGTTAGTGAAGGTAGCAACATTTCTTTTTTTTTACTTGTAAATAGCATGTTTGATAATTGTCTACAGTATTTCTCCTTGTTTGTGTCAAATGTATCATAGAATCTTTAATTTTTAAAGCGTTTTTCATTTTTTTCAAAATGTTTGGCTCCCAAGAATAGTGTTATAAACAACGCATATTGAATACTAGATACTGAATACCCAGTCAATTTTCATTACATGCCATTTTTTTCCTGGTTCTTATAAAATGTAAAGTAATTTAACATAAAATCTACTTTGTTCATAAAGATTCAAAACTTTAAAATTCCACATATGTGTCCCACATGGGTTTCCCAGAGCATTAACCATTATCTCCTTCCCTCTAGGATCGTCCAGCCATGCAGTTGTACCAGCCAGGAGCTCGCATCCGAACACATATGGGACCTACAAGCAAAACCTATGACTGCAGTGGGAAATCCTTTGAAGATGCTCTTGATAAAAAGTATGAGGCAGATAATTCAGCTGGAGCTGGTTCTGAAAAGACTGAAGAAGCAGAATAAAACAGTCTGGGGGAAAAGTCTTGTGAAAAGGAATGAATTTAAGATTCAGCATCATCACACAAATCCATTGGGCTGTTTCAGAATTCCACAGGCAATTGCATCACAAAATAATAAAAGCTCTGTCTCTTACTTTCTATAAAATAAAGGGAAGAGTGACTGGAGATATATAAAATATCTTACAGCAAAGTAATATTGTTGCTTTTTTACAAAAAGCGGCTCAAGCACTCTTTGCCTAATTTAAAAGCAGTTCAAATATTTTATTAGATTTACTTTGAAATAGAAGGCCCTCTAACAATTTTAAGGGAATATTTATATAAGACTTTAGAGAAGCTATGTCAACTTCTTGAGTCTAAAAGAATGAAACGTAAATTTGCATCAGTTTGAAATCTGGCATTTTTCATGTATTTGGTGCATGACATGAGGGTCCACAGGACCCTCAAAAGGCAAATTCCTTTTGAGGAAAAGGAAGAGGCAGGGGCGGGGGCTGCTGTAGGGTGTTGTAGATGGACTCAGTGGGACCAGCCCTGGGACGAAGCTCTGGAGTGGTGTTTACAGGATGAGGCCCACAGTTTGCACAGTTGTGAGGAATGTCCAGTGGTATCTGTACCTCATGGTGTTTACATTGGTTTTCAATTAACTGTAGTGTCAGATAAGTGTTAGTAAAGCTACAAGTATGTTGTTGGAGAGTTTGTCATTTTCTGAGCCACTTTTGCCTTTTATGTTTTAATAGATTCCTTGTGCTTAAAACAGAAGACAGCTAATGCAAACATCAGCACATTAACAATAAATCTGGTTTTAATTAATTAACTGGTTTTTATCGTTCTGACACTGACTTTTGGACAAAAAAAGTGGTTGTACAGTGATGACTTTTTATATGCTAATGTTTCATATAAGTTGCAGTAACAGGATTTAGAAAATGTAAAATACATGCATTCTGCAGTTTTATTTGTTAAAAAATTAAACACACATGAATGTCAATTGCAAACTACCATTTTGTAAGATCCAGGCCAAATTCTGCCCTCTAAGGCAGGCACATATACATGTGTATGTGTGGGGGTGTGTGTGTCTTCTGTTGGTTTCAATGATAGACGTGTGTTTATGAAAGGGCAGGATATGTTCATTTTTCTTTCATGGCTGAAAATTTCTCAGTTGTCTAAAACAGACCTGCTTTGTCATTGAAGTTAAATAGTAAGATATTATTTTTACATCCTCTCTGAACATTTTATTATTAAGTATAACATCTAATTGTCCTAGACTGAAAATTATTTATTGTATTTTACCAGATATTAAGCATTAAATAGAATAAAAGCAAAAAAGATTTTGACTATGATTTTGAGATGTGATACTGTGCTATTTTTTCATCTATTACTTGAGAAAAAAAATGAGTAAGATGCTGTTATACTGCTTTGCATGCCTCAGAAGCAGATAAAAATACAGTTGAGAAGAATTTTAGTATCAGGCTACATAAGTCAGCTGCCAACTAAAATTACTTTAAGATTAAGTAAAACTGCTGCTAGAGAATCATCTGGGTTTAGCTCCATCTAAAGTTTATCGCATTTGCCAAGTTTATCCTGACTGCAGGAGAAAGGATTTTGTCGTGGTGTCCTGGCTGAGCCCTGGGAGGGCAGGCTTTCCCCTCAGTGATAAATCACGTCTTGAGCCAAGAAAACTTGTGAGGGAAATTCTGCCTAGAGCTGGGCACAGCTGGGATCTTCACCAGATGAGGGTCTGCTCAAAAGCATTTCCCACCTTTTTTTGATGCCCTGTGGTTGCTGGAGCAGGGGGTGTATTTCACTTGTGAGAGGGACTGGCAGGACACAGAGGAGCTGTGATTTTGCACATGCTCACAACTCAAGTTTGATATCTTTTGGCTTTCGGGCTTCTTCTCCACTTGCACCTGAGTTCCTTGGTTATAAGCACCTCTTGATAGTATTATAGAGAACTAACTAAACACAGGAATTTTGCAGTATTTTTCCATTTGGGTCTTCTTACTCAAACCTCATTTCAATAAAAACTGTCAGTGCTTAAACACTTGTGTCCATCGGATCAAGCTGGAGATTCAGGTCAAGACAGAAATTTCTGCAGCATTTTGGCAACTTTTTGTGTTCTTTGTGTGCTCCTGCCCAAAGAGAACCATTCCTTTGACTTAGGTATTCACATGGAAGGAATATTCAGGACATCCAAATTTGGATGTAGAGAGTGCAGTAGTCAACATCTGCACACAGCTGCAACCTGAGCTTCATCCCAAGCTGCCTGATGGCTTGGCAGTGCCCCTCTAGGAGCCCTTGGGACAGCCTCTCTTATACAGCAGGTACTGGTATCTATTCTTGCCGCATCTGAGAGGGGCAGTAGGAAGCACTGGCCACCATCAGCAGGATCTGAGCATTGCTATGGCCAACTACACCTGCCACAAGTAGCTCAGGAGAGACAGGAGCAGCACAGCAGCCCCAGGAGCACCAGGAGCCCAGGGTGCATGGGAATGCTGCCCGCAGGCTCTCTGCTACAGTGTGACCCTTCCTAAAACAGAGGAAACACCGTCACTAAGCTTCCCCTCTCTGCACTTGTGGTCATCTTGGGCAGTGCCAGCAGGACAGCCTGTGCCTGTGGAAACAGGAATCAGGTTTGGGATGGGAGCTTGTGCAGCCATTATCTGCAGAGAAGACTGCCTGCTGGAATTGAGCATGTACCTCATAGGAATGCTGCAAAGTACAATGGGTAAAGCAGGAAAATGCATTTCCAAGTCCCTTCTCCAGTGTTGCCTGCACAGGAATGCAGCAGGGCCTGAGCTTGCTTCCCTTGCTGGAGGAGCTGCCACCTGCTCTGTGCTCACTTGTTCTTTTATGCTTCTCCCTATGACATCAAATAAATGCAGGCTTGCTGCCTGCCTTTGTGCAAACTCATCGTGGCGTGAGAGCTTCATTGCCACAATAGTAACTTTGTTTTGCAAATTCAGCTTAGCTGAAAGTAGAGAAGCATCCCCACAGAATGGGAATTGTGTCTGGTTACATCACAGATGACTTCAGTGCCATCTGTTTTCTTGCTTTTCAAATATAATGTTCTACATATAGAGAGCTTCACCAAATTTCTGTTGCCTGGTTTCTCATTGAATTCCAAGGTCATTGACATTTAGCAAGATGGAAATCACTCTGTCTGTCAAATGGAGATTGGGCTCCATTCTATCGTGATCTATTGTGTTACTGGAAACTGATGTGGAATGTAAATATTGAGTAAAAATCCCTGCATTTGTGCTTGTTGCAGCCTTAAAGAGAAGCTTATTCAACTCCAAACACTGTACTGACAATTTCACATTCAGTTTATAAATACATTCTGTTGCTTCTTTTAATTTAAAACCAAATGGCTCAAAGTTGTTTTTGAAGAGTCTTTGGAGGTCCATTCATGGTTAAGCCAACACTCCTCTTCATGCTGAAGGCAGTTTGTCTGCTGGCATTTATTTGCAGTACTACAACTGAGCAGCCCAAACAAAAAGCGTGAAATATGAACATGACAAAACCCACTCACTGGGCACAAAATAATATTGAACATCAGAATAAAATATGCCTAAAAAGGAAAATGGAGTAGTACTTCCCTCCCCAAACTTGATGGAATGTTGAAAATCTGTGGAAAATTACTTGTGAGTTGGTGGTGTTGTTTGAGTATTATATGAGGAGAGGAGAGACTTAAAATTCTCAAGTTACTTATTTATAACTGTTTCATTAGAAAGAAAAAGTATCTGAAACAAATGGGAAGCCAGAATCTTGTCTGATAATTTCTAAGTGCCTTAGAGGCATTCTATCTGTCTTCTGTGCCTCCACTTGAGTTTTTCATTGAAGTTCTTGAAGACTGAAAATGTCATCTTACCAAGTGCTGGTTTCCCTCTTAGCAGTTAAATCCTCTCCCAAACTTCTTCATTGTTACATAGCTAAAAAAAATAATTAAAAATTCCAGATATATTTTGTGATTTACATATCATTAGGCCGTACCTGATCTCCTGAATATGCCCCATTTGCATATCCCATCCACAATTACATAAATACTATCAGAGGCTCATTACTGTCACATAAATACTACAGTATTTTGATTCAAATTGACACAAACACAGAAGACATTGGACTGCAGTGTTCTTTGCTCAATTCCAATTAACAGCCTGGATTATTTTAAAAAAAAAACCAAACAAACAACATTTGTCCAACACACTCCAAAAGGGTAAAGATTAGCAAAAATGGCACATAGACTCATGGCTCATGGTCCATGCAAGATCCATAAATGTCTCCCAGCATATGGAGAAGGCAGGAAACACATGCAGAAATATGCAGAAACATACAAATTATATGCAAAACACGCAGTTATAGGCGATCCCCCCCCCCCCACCTTCTCTTTAAAAATGTTGATATAGTCTAGAATCAAATATGAAGATTCTGCATAGAAGTTGAAAGGGGGTGGGCAGGTGCTGGGTCTTTTAGGGTATTGGTGTTTTAGTTTTTTTTTCTTCTGCCAGGATCTCAATTGCCAACTCTAGTGAACAAATTAGAAAGTAATTCTGGAAGGCTCCAGCTGGCCAGACAGGGGGCTTGGCTTTAGATTGTCCACAGCATGGAGGACTTGGCCTGTTACTAGTGATCTGTGCCCACGTATGTGTGTGTTGTGCTGCTCCCTATATCTGGCTGTGCAGACATGGTTCTGCTGGATGAAACTGAAAGGAAATTCCACCTCACCTTGTTTCTTAAGAATAAACTTGAATATGGACACCAATATATGACATTACCTGTTGGAAGTTCTTGCAGAGTTTTGACAGCTGTTGGAGGACATCAGCATCCAGAAACAAAAGTATGTGTACAATTGTGTTCTCAGGTATTCAGTCAAGAAAATCAGGATATCAAAGGAGAAATGGAAACACTTTCAGGGCTCAATAGGCTCAGTCTTCTTTCCTTCACATTTAACAACATCCTGAAACACAAAGATTAAAGTTGCTTGTATAGTGGAAACTTTTAAATTCCTAAATTAGGGATCAAATAAGGAGGAAAACGTTTGGGAATATGTTACATAAGGTAAAAATGTATCCAGGGGTATTTAGATGTATCTCAAGTGAATTATGAGATGTTCATAGCTACAGTGTTAGGTAACATTTGTTGCTCTATTTGTTACAGTTACTAATGCATAAGAAAAAGGCCATTTCAGGAAGTAATTTAGAGGTCTAAGGGAAGGAATTGAATGAAAAAATAGCTGTCTTGATGATTAAACTCCACACCTTCGAAAGCCTGCTGGCATTTTTACTGAGAGACTTCACAGGTGAATATGGTCATTTTCTACATGTTGCTTATAAAAAAAAAATCTAGAACTGCAAACTATATTCAATTTTTTTTCACAATAATATTAACTGAAAGGAGGGAGACTTATGAAACTTTAGCATGATTTCGTAAATCAAATTAAATCCCTAGATGTAAAGGAAAAAAAAAGTTCTAAACAAAAGTTAGAAAGTTTAACCATACAGTAAAAAAAGTCTATTAAAAAAAGTTATTCACTGTAGTTGCTTGAGATGTGTTCTTTACCTATGCTCTGTAATTGCTAATCCAGCAAAAAAATCTCTGTGGGATTTTTTTACCTCCTTTGAGAAAACTTCTTCACTAGATTGAAAGGCAATCCTCCAAGTACTCCAAATCACTTACAGGTAACAATAGCATGGAAAAAGTTTACTCAGTCTGTCTAAGAAAAAACCTAATAAATGGGGTACACCTGGTTTATCTGGAATTTAATTAAGTGTTTCATTCCATTCTCAGTGGAAATTATTCTATTAACTACAGTAGCTGGAAATTAATTTTAAAACTGTAAGATGAGTGAGAGCACTGGCAAACCAGAAAGATGAAAAGCTCAGGATCAAGTGAAAATGACAGGTTATTAGCTGGCCTTGGGTTGACTTTACAGCTATTTCCATGAATGAACAAGGCAGGATTTTTAGTAATAAAAAACAGACAAAATGCAAGTACAAGGTGGATGAGTAGCAATTATGTTCTTAGCTGAAGACTTGGATGGAAACAACCAGTTGGTTTTTGTTAGTCATGGGAAAACCACACTCCTCAATGGTGAATGTATAACCTGTAGTCAAAGAGATATGAGCCTGGGACATGACTACACAGCAGACCCAGAGGGTATCTAGCTGCAGTGCTAGATTTCTCCATGACATCTAGATGTAGAAAAAAAGAAAGAAATTCCTCGTCAATCAGTAATTATAGTTAATCACTACACTTCTGCTACATTTTCAGAGCATGGGCAGGATTCATTTTGTTGGAAACTTAGATAAGACTGGCGAAAAATACTGCTTCTATCCAAGCAGCCAGGGGAGGTAAGAGATCACTGCTAAATGGTGCCTGTCACAGAGACAGCCCTCTTGGTAAGGAAATGATGCCGAATGTCCAGCCCAAACCTTCCCTGAAAGAGCTCTGAGCCATTCCTACCTATCCTCTCTGTGGGTACCGGGGAGAAAAGCTTAGCATCTTTCCCTCCACCTCCCTGCTCTGGAAGATGTAGAGAGCAATGAGAACGTGTGAGAGACTGAACTATTCAGAGACAGTGACTCAAAACATGGAGAGATGTTTTGTGTGGAGATGCCAGGGTGCTTGGTTGAGATGGAGTTGGTGAACTTTCAGTTGTGCAGTGGCTAAACTTCTGATCTGATAAGACACAGGGTGAAAGATGGGCTGTGAGTGAGGTAAGAGCTGGATCCTGTGGACAGGATTGTGCCCCTTGGCATGTTAAGCTGTGCTTCCTTGCACAAACCACTGGGCTGTGGGGCCCAGTGGTTTGTGCAAGGAAACACAAACCACTTTGTGTTCCTCCTACCCCTGGGAAATGCTGGGGAACTCACGTGTGACCTGGGCGGGTTCATCTCTGCTGATGGGATGCAATGGGGCACAACTGACTCGACTGCGCTGCTGGGATGGGCAGCTGTGCTGTCTTAGAAGGTGTGGAGGACTCCCAAAGTGTCCCATGATCTACAGTATTACATGCCTGCTCCTGAGGAGGCACCTGATTTATATTTACCTGAACCAGAGTGAATATAAACCCAAGAGATTATGTGTTCTGCCGATTCCTCCCCACCACTTCTTCGGGACTTCCCTCATCACTCAACCACCACTTTGACCAAGACTGTATAGCAATCAAGTCTTGTTGTGAGGCTTAGGGTGGTGAGATCCTTACACTCTTGTTTCCCTTCCCTTCCCTTCTCCTTTCTCTCTCTTTCTTTCTTTCCCCTTCTCTGTGTCCTTGGGTGATACTGTTGCAGTTTCATATTGCAATGCTTTCATCTTCTATTACTATAGATAATAACCACCAAAACAGCTCCATACCTATTTTCCTTTGCAGCCAAGTTGTTCTGTAATAAATCCTACATTGTTTATTTACAAATACTGATCATTCAGTGTTGTTTCACACTGATTTGCCCCAAGGGATCTAGCAACAAGAACGTGGGTTCTGTCCTAACAAAATTCTCATTCTCCAGAGAGTCTTTCCTTAAACACTTCCAGGGAGTACCCATCCCTGGAGTTGTTTAAGGAAAAACTGGACATGATTCCCAGTGCTGTGGTCTGGTTGGCATGGGGGTGCTCACTCACAGGTTGGAGTTGATTTCAGAGGTCTTTTCCAACTTAATTGGTTCTGTGATTCTGTGAGTCTGTCATTCTTTCCACACTGGACAAAAAGCATTGCAAAACCTAAGAGACAGAAAGCAATCCCTGAACTGGGGAGTCCAGATTTGCACACACAGTACCTGAGGTGTGGCCTATTCGGCACCCCTAGAACCCTGCGTACCTTTCTGGGCCCCTCAGCTGGGGAAGGATGTTAATGGGCGGATGCAGAGAAGAGCGATAGAGTGCGTGTCCTGCAGGGAGCGGCTGAGGGAGCTGGGGCTGTTCAGCCTGCGGAGGAGCAGGCTCAGGGGAGCCCTTACGGCTCGCTACGATCGCCTGACAGGAGGTGATAGCAGCCTCTTCTCCCCAACAACCAGCCACAGGATGAGAGCACACAGTCTTAAACGGCATCAAGGGATTTTTAGGCTGGATATTAGGAAGCATAGGAAACTCAGAGGGTGATTGGTTATTGGAATGGGCTGCCCAGGGAGGTGGTAGAGTCACCGTCCCTGGAAGTGTTTTAGGAAAACTGGACATGGCACCGAGGGCCATGGACTTGTTGACACGGTGGTGTTTGGTCACAGTTGAGGGTCTCAGAGGTCTTTTGCAGCCTACTTTGTGACTTTGTGTCTCTGTGTTTCAGGGATTCTGGAATTCCCTCCGCACTGGACAAACCCGCGGTGCGCTCCCAGACGAGGCCGGGCCCCCTGTGCGGCAGCGCCCCCTGCCGGCGGGCGCGGAGGGCGCGCCCGCCGCCGGGCCCGCCGCGCGTCCCTCCCTCCCCCTGGGCATCGGGCCTGGGCCTTCCCCTTGTCCAGCCCCCGCCGCGCGGGGGGCGGCGGCGGCTGCCGGTGCCGGCGCGGGGGGAACAAAACCGGCGGGGCCGCGCACGGGAGGGAAGCGGGAGAGGGGAGGCGGCGAGGGAGCGCGCCCGGAGGGGCGGGATGAATGGGCGGGCGGCGCGACCCCCGGCCCCGGGGGTGCGGCCCCCGGGAGGGCCGGGCTGCAGGGAGCCGGCGGCCCCGGGAAAGCCGAGCCCGCAGGCACCCCCTTCCCGCAGGAAAGTTAAAGGATGCCGGCCGAGCGAGGAGCAGGAGGAGCACGCTGCCGGTCTGCTGTCCTGGGATAGCGAGTTCGGCACGGGACGTGTCCCCGGCGGGACCGGGCCCTTCCCCGGTGACAGAAATTGCTGCCGGGAGCGGCTGCGTCGCACGTGGGAGCGGAGAAGCAGGTGCAGAGCCGAGGCTCACGACAGTCCTGGAGAACACGTCCTGTGAGCGGCGGCTGAGGGAGCTGGGGCTGTTCAGCCTGGAGAAGAGGCTGCTCAGGGGGGACCTTCTCACTCTCTACAACCACGGGAAAGGAGCTGTAGCCAGGTGGGGGTCGGCCTTTCCTCGCAGGCAACAAGTGACAGGACAAGAGGACATAATGTTAAATTGCACCAAGGGACGTTTAGATTGGACATTAGGAAGACTTTCTTCACTGTGAAAGTGAAGAAAGTGACATTGAAACGGACTGTGCAGAGTAGTGTTGCAGTCACTGTCCCTGCAGGTGTTTAAGGAAAGACTGGACGTGGCACTGAGTGCCATGGTCTGCTTGACAAGGTGGTGTCAGTCATAGGTTGGAGCTCGATGATCTCAGAGATCTCAATGATTCTATGAATTTTTTGCAAGTGAGGAATTTAGAAACTTTGGATTTTGCACTTCTCTAATATTCCCTTGCACCCCATATTCTTTCAGGGTAGTGTAAATGGAATTCTTAGCACGGTAAGAATTCACAACCTTCATTTGGTTCTTGACTAGATTGCACTGCTCTAGTTGGTCTAGTGGCACTTCATTAGCTCAGGTACATCACTGCGGCAGTAAGGTTTTTGGGGCCATTTTTGGAATTCAGCTGGAATTGTGAACTTGGAGTTGGCTGTAGAAGCAGTACATGGAATTAATTTCTTCTCTCTTGAATCTGTCAAAGGTACATTGATTTTACTCTGCAATTTAGACTGTTGTTAGTTCTTTTATTGAGAATTAATGTGTACATTTGTCATTCTCTTAACAAAAATTGAAATATTGCAAAATTGTTACAGTTCTGGGTGCTTTGTTTTTCTAAAGTAATCTGTATGTGCCTCAAATATTGCCACTTCATATATCTCTCCTGACTTGAACCTTTCCTGGAAACATGGAACTTCGTAATGCAGTGTTTCTGCCTGGATCTGCTGCCTCCCATGTTCTTAGCCTATCTTGGTGTTTCAGTGGCTGGTTGGGTTGGAGTGTTTGTGCCTTCTGTAGCTGTGCAATTTTAAAGACTTTGTTCAGCAGTTGTTGCTGGTGGAACTTAGCCTGAGTAGACTGGCTGGTAGCTGGGAGTTCAGGTGTGAGGCTGTGGTCAGACACTGTGGACACTTCTGGACTAGCAGGAGCATAGGTTTGCCTGTCTTGTTCGTGGTGCCTTGGAAGTGATGTCCTTAGGTGCTTGGTGTGTTGGTAGAGTGCCTGCTGTGCCCCTCTCTGGGGTGTTTGTGTGCAGCTTCCTCTGGGAGCTAAACTTCTCTTTGTCAGTCACAACACAGGGATGTAGCTTCAAGAGAAGCATCATGCTGCCACCAGACTGCCATTCACTTTTTGGCACTGCAAGAACATGTAATTTTTCCTTTTGCTTAAACCCAGCAAAAGTCTGGATCTGTTCCTGCTAGCAGAGGCAATGATGCCTCTGTATCTCACTGTATCTTGCTTACTCAGGTTTATTTTGCTGAGAACAAATTTGCCATTGACCCTCCTCACTGACAGAGGGTTATGACTGAACTGTTTGTCTGCAAGAAACTTCCAAGGCTGTTGAAAATCAACAGCAATCCTTCCTGTGCAGTGACTGGTGTAGGGACTCTTATGTGTGGTTGTAGTGCATTGCAGAAAATCACAGGGTTTTTCTTCTGGATCATTTTCCCAGCTGTGTTGGTGTCATTAAAGTCTGTTGCATGTTCTCTATCTGCTTGTGTTTCACCAGGCTTGATTGTTCTTTGAGAGGAAAAGAGTTTCAGATTCTTCTGCCACTGAGAACCAAGACAGTCTGATTTTGAACAATGATGTGGCAGACTACTTGTTGCTGTGCTCTGAATTTCTTCATGGAATGTTAAAAGAAATCTAATTTTCTGTGCTCACAGACAGTCTAGATCTTTAGTTTTGAGCCCTTTGTTGCTTCCCTCTGACAGTCACAGCTTATCTTCAGTAGAGGAAAAATGCAGGTATATATTAACTGTTGCAATGCTAAGTATAGAATGTGTTTTTTAAAAATTACCAGGAATGATTGGAAGACTTGTAGCTATGAAATTGGAATGGAGTTAAAAAGTAGAGACATCTTGTTTGCTGCCAGAGTCACGTTGTGCCAACACTGCATGGATTCCTTATTATATGTAGGTATCTCCTCTGCATTTTTCCACTTTTCTTCCACTGGGAGGTTTTTGAGAGGCTGTAGGAAGTATGACTTAATCTTAAGTGGGATCCTTGTGGAAGATGGGATACAGAATCCAGGAACCACCTCTGACATGGCTGGATGTGTTGGCTGGGAAGAGTTCAGGAGGTCTCTCCTCTCTGTGCATTAGCTTAGGGCGCTCCTATTGCTCAGTGTAACGTGAACTCAGCAGGAACTTCTGATGCTGTTTGACTCCACTCTGTGGCTGCCTTGTGATACTCATAACCAACTTCTGGTTGAATTTGTGGTTATCTCGCTGCCTCTGACTTCCTGGATACTTCTTCTTTCTGCCAAATCATGACTTTAGCCTCTTGGCTGCTAAGAACAAATCAAGAAAAGCAGTGATAGTTGTTATTTTCTCAGGTAGATACATGCCCTCATTACCAATCCTTTCCCCGTGCTGTTTTTCTGTTTTTGCTCTGGTGGAGGAGATTATGGCCAGAACTGCAATGTAGAGGATAGGAACTGGTGTAAGGATCTTCAGCATCTCAGTGGAGAGAGAAGAGAGTTGGTGGTAGGAATCTCTGTGTGTAGGTTCTAAACATGCCTGAAGAAGAGGGCTTGGGAGAGGTGGCTGATGGAGCAGCAGTAGGGACTGGTGGTCCCACTGCTGAGATTTGTGTCTCTTCAGGCAGCTTTAAACTGAGTGATGGACATTGATCTGTGTCACTTCAAGTCAGCTAAGAGCTGAGTTGGTACTGATGCTGTTTCTGTGCTTGACATCTGAGGACATAGTGAGCTTTTAGCCAGAAGCACTTACCTGTTCAGGTAGGTTTCAGTGGGAAATGTCATGTCTTAGGAAGACTGAATGCGTCTTGGCTGCCTTAAGTTAAAATTTAGTATTGCAATCCCCAGAATCTTAGTTGAATCACAGTATTTTGTCTTGAAGGCAGGATGTGGATGCAGAACAGGCATAAATGCTGGGCTTCAGGCTTCTGCTTTGGTTATAGTGTTCTGTTTGGCTGCATGTGTATTTGTTTTCTCAGTGTTGCAGCCATGGAAAGTGAGAAAAGTAGGAGGGAATGCAGAAAGAGCAATTAAGGAATGTGTTGTGCTTTGTAGTGTTACAGTAGCGTGCAGCACAGCCTCAGTTATAGCCACTGCTGCACTGCACATCCTGTTACCTGAGAGTTCAAATAGGGGAATGCTCAGGTGTCCTTTTTACAAAACAGTTATGGCCTGGCAGGGTGTTCAGCTAAACAAAGTGGCACAGCAGTTATTTGTACTTGCAGAGGTGGCAGCTTCTTTGTCCTCCTAGGAGTATTCAGGAAGTCTTGAGAGATACTCCAGTGGCCATCTGTCTTCTGCTTTGTTTAATGGAGAAGTTGTTGCTTGTGACAATTTGATCTCTGTCCTGAAATTCATACTTTTCCTCAAAGAGCTTCAGAGGACTAGAGTGATGTTGTGATTTAGTACTTGGTCCAGGTCTCTGCAGTGCACGTGGAGCACCCTGACAAAATCACACCATTTATTTAATAAAACCTTTTTGTGGGTTTGATTTGCAGCAGCACAGAGCTAGCTCCCTTTAATGTCTGTAATAATGCATTTACTCAGACAGAGCATGGTCCATCTCTCTCAGTGTTGCCAAAAAGATGCTGCTGAGCACAGATTACATCACAGTTCATGCAGAACCAACGCCATGGGGACCTGGTTACTGAGCATATGGTTTCTGGGCTGGCTGGCTCTGCTGGTGTGGGACTCTTTAGAAAATGTTGTTCCTTGCACTTTCACCCAACTAGGCAAGCCGGGATCCAGCGCAGAACAAGTTCTGATGCAGGAGCTGATGGCAAAGAGCAGTGTGAAGCAGAGTCATCTGTGTGATAAACCTGAGTGCAGAGGAGGACAGCATCCAAAATCATGAAGAGAGACAGTGGCACTGGAGCTCAATTTTGAGAAGGAATCTGGTGGGGTTGTTAGGAAAATCTTTCAAACTAGTTATTTACATCTGTGCTAAGTGAACCAGCAACATCTCAGAGTTTATTCTTCCAGAAGTGTTTCAACAAATTTAAATTGACAAGCTGAGTTAGTAGGGGCTCAGTGCTGTTTGTTACTATTTCAGTAACCCTTCCAAAACTAGTTTTACTATTCCATGGGCTTGTGGCCTAAGGTGCTGCAATAGCAAAGAGTTGCTCAGTAGGGTGCCTCAATTAAGTGGAGATTTCAGCAGAGGAGACAGTTACTTCAGCAACTGCCAGACACAGTGGCAGTTTTGAGTTACAAAACTAAAAATGGTGAGTGATGGCAATGTGAGACAAAGTATCCTCAGCTCTTTAATATTATGTAATTTGAAGGAAAAGGCTTGACTGTCAAGGCTTGACTTTTGGATGTCTGGACTGTGCCTGTGTTTTCTTTGGTTCCAAAATAATCTCATGGTCAAAAAAGCTTAGCAGCAATGTGGACAATTTGTGGAAGGGAGCCACTGGCTTTTTCTAATTGTTGTATTTGTAAAGGAAGTGGGAATTTTCATCATAAAGTAAGGTAGAACTGAATAAAAGAAGAGGATGGGGGGTGGGGTGAAGTGTATTTCAGTGAATAACAAAAAACTGCAGCAAGGGCAACAGGTGACATGTGAAGAGCTGGGAAATTATGAAGAGAGTAGAAAAGATTGTCTGGTAAACTTTGTAATAAACTGTGATAAATTCAAATTAGAAAAGCCCTTTTTTGGTTTTTTAGTGAAAAGAAAATGGATAATTCAGGATTACAACCAGTTTTGGAATTGACAAATTCCCTTTCAAGTCTAAAAATGTGATTACTGCAGTATGTCTTCATTATCCTAATTATGTTCTGCTGTGATTTGATTAAAAAAAACCCAAAACCTTTTTGTTTCGCTCATATCAGCAATTCAGAAATTTTTGCTTTCAAATTTAAATTTTCCTTTCCTCTCATTGTCCTGAGTCCTGCAAACAAAATATGAACTGTAGTTCATAAAGATTTGCAAGTCTTTTAGAGAACTAAGACATAATGTGCTGTGGGTTTTTACAATTGGCAAGTTATTTTCTCTTGCAGTGATACAGCCCAACAAGCACTGCTGTCATCTTTGTTTTGTTTTCATCTTTTACAGACATAAAAAAATTTGTTCTAAGATGTTGGGAAGTGTTTTGGGTCAACGCTGAATGTGGTGTGGGCTACAATTTGGGGTGTCTTTTGTATGGCTGCCAGCAGTGCTGGGAAACTGCAACTTATGCCCCAAAGGCCCTTCCACTTCAGTGTTGGTAGAGCAGAGTAATTACTTCTCATTTGTAGCTAGGCTGTGGTCGGATGCTGTTCATTTGCCTCATGGTTGTAAAGCAGGTTCCTTCTTAAAGCTCCGTTTGTGGTTCCACCGTGCTTCCCAATTGGAAATCTACCTGTTCCTGTGACTCAGTGTGATGTGCGTACACACAGTGCACACAAAGGAGTTGCTCCATAAGCAGCTGAGCTATAGTAAACCCGTATTTCTTAAGGATTTGTGCCCTCCTGCTCCTCAGCCAATCCTTCTTTCCTGGTTTTTTGCTGTATCCGTCTCATCCTTTAGCAGCACTGCCAATTTTTGCTTTCATTCTGTCTCTACCCCAAGCCCAAAGCAGCTCACTGCTGTAGTATTTTGAATTCCTTCCCCTTTTCCTTAATTACAAGCTGAATCAGATACTGCTTGCTCTGAATGTTTCAAGACTTTTTGTGGAGAGGCTAAACAGAAGTAGTTGCTGCTAAGTGGCATATTCTGCCTCAGTGGAGGCATTGCTTGCATTCTCTAGTTCCTGATTTTCATGAAAGGTGTAGAAATGCAAAGTAAGGCTGGATTGCTTTGTCCAGTTTGATTGGCATTGACTGTAGGGCAATGTGTTTGTGTAAGCCTCATTTCCATAAGAAACCAGGGGAAAAATGCTTTAGGAATAAATTAAGAAAACTTGCTTTGAATGCATATTTTTAGACTTGTTAGTCTTATATATATTTAGACAGGTAAATTAATGTTAAAATTAAACAACAATTTTGAGTGTTTTGAAGCAATGTGTTTTACAACACCCCCCAAAATTAGGTTGATAGTTTAGCTTGATTAATCATGTAATTTCAGCCTACAAGGAAAAAGTGTATGCATTTTGCTTAAATGTCCTTTTTTACCTTCCACTTTTATGTCAATATAACTTACAGAATATGGCTAGACTTGGTTTTCTGCTTATTGTAGTAGCTAATCTGGTTAAATTCTCTTGGAAATGGGGGAGTCTAGCCAAATCATTAAAATCTATTTACATTTGGGAGGGATTTTGTTTGGTTTTTGGGATCTTTTTTGTTTTTTGGTTTTTTTTTTGTTGTTGTTGTTGTTATGTTGGGTTTTTTTAAGTCTTGCAAAAAACATTAATTTTGAGAAATTTCCATCTTTGGGGTGAGGAGAACAGCGGACTGTTAACTACCAGCTGGGAAAAAAACCCCTGCTGTTTTTCTTAAATAGTATTTTTGTTGTTATTGGGGCAACAGATGAAATAATGGAACAGGAAAAGTCCTTTTCATAATAGATGAAGTTTTTATGATCAGTACTAATTTTTTTCATGTAATTAGTGAAAGAAAGCCAGTATTTAACAGTTGAAAACAGCCAAGGCTTTAGACTGCTGTTTTCTTGAATTTTATTTTAGTCTTTGTCAAAAACTGATTTGTTTTGAAATTTATTGGTGAAGACTCATTTTTAAATGGCCGTATCTCAGTGGCAGTGTTCCAAGTACTTTCCAAAGTACTTTTTGTTTTCAGTTTACATGTGTAATATAAATAATACAATGCCAATAAAAGCACATCAAATATGGGAAGATGATGGAGAAAACAAGTCACATTTATCAAATGAAATTCAAACTTTGCTCTTCATCACCTGTTTTTTTTAATCATTTGCTTCCAGTTTTTTTACATAGTAGGAATGCCTATTGTTAAATATAAGCTTTATTTTTTCAAGTTTTACTGATGCAAAATGACTTTCAGGAGTTGATGACGCTTATGTTTGGATTTGTCTATGAAGTAGTTGGTAGCTGTGCAAAATTTATGCTTTCTAAAAAGGCAGTGGGGGTGTGCAGGGAAAAGCCCATGTGGTTATTTAGGAGTGACAGAGTTGAAAATTAACATGGACAGATAACTATACACATCTTTTTCCTTTATTGTAGGAACTGAAAATTCCCCTATAAAAGGTGCAGTTCTGTGGAAACTGTTACTGCCTATAGAAAATGGACATGTTGCAGATACTACGTAAAACCACAGAGCGCTTGGAATGTGACTACTGCAGCTTCAGGGGAACTGACTATGAAAACATACAAATTCATATGGGTACCGTTCACCCAGAGTATTGTGATGAAATGGATGCTGCTGGTTTGGGTAAACTTATATTTTATCAAAAAAGTGCAAAACTGTTTCACTGCCATAAATGTTTCTTTACCAGCAAGATGTATTGCAACGTGTATTATCACATCAAAGCACAGCATGCAGCGCCTGAGAAGTGGAATGAAGAGAAGAAAGAGCAACAGGCAGAAGGAGATTCAGATTCATCCAAGAAAAGTGTCACATTGGAGCCACAGAAACCTACCCTTTCCCCCGAGTCACGCAAACCTGCCCTTTCTCCTGAACTCCCCAAATCTGAACCTGTTGTTTCCCCCAAGCTTCAGAAATCTTCGGTGTCTCCAGAGCCCCAGAAGTCTGCTCAGGTGACTTCTCCAGAGCCCGAGAAGTCAGAGCAGACTGTGTCCCCAGATCCAGAAAAGTCAGCCCAGGCCACATCTCCCGATCCAGAGAAGTTATCCTCGTAGCCATCCCCTGCTGTGTCTCCTGACCCACAGAAGCCATCCCCTGTTGTGTCTCCTGACCCACAGAAGCCATCTCCTGCTGTGTCCCCCGACCCACAGAAGCCAGCCCCAGCCGTGTCGCCAGAGCCCCGTCGGCACTCCCCAGCAACGTCTCCAGAGCCCCGTCGGCATTCCCCCGCCATATCGCCGGAGCCCCGGCGCCATTCTCCTGCTGTGTCTCCAGAACCCCGCAGATACTCCCCAGCTGTGTCACCAGAGCCAAAGAAACCTCCTCCAGCAGTGTCCCCTGAACCACGGAGGTATGCCCCAGCTGGGTCTCCTGAGCCACGGAGGCATCCCTCTCAAATGCGTAGGCCCGCTTCTGCTTCTTCTCCTGAAAGCCGCAGGCCTGCTTCTGCGGTTTCGCCGGAGTCATGGAGACCTGGTCCAACTGTTTCCCCTGAGCCCTGGAGGTCTTCACCTCACGAAGTGCAGAAGTCTTCCACAGTTTCTCCCTGGGCTTCAAAGCCTGCCATGTCAATGTCCGTAGAATCCCGGAGGTCTGCCCCTGAGTCCCGAAGGCCTGGTTCGGTTGTGTTGCCAGAACCTAGGAGGCTTGTTTCTGATTCCTGTAAGTCTACGTCCTTTTCTGAATCCCAGAAATCTACACTTGTTTCTTCTGAGCCCTGGAAACCCATCTCATCTGTTTACCCTGAAGGCTGGAAACCTGTTCTGTCCCCTGACACATGGAAGCATTCTCCCCCTGTTTCTCCTGAGCTTCGAAAGTCCAGTCACACTGTGTCCTCTGACTCTTGGAAGCCTTCTTTCTTTCCTGAGGTCCGTAAGCCTGGTGTTTCAGTATCTCCTGAATCTTGGAAACTCTCTGAGTCACGGAAATCTATGTATTTTTCTGAAACTCAGAAATCCACCTCTGCTGCTTCATCTGAGATTCAGAAACGGGCTCATTTCCCTGAACCCCGGAAAAGAGTGTTGTTCCCAGAGACTCGTAAATCTAATCCTACTGCTTCTACTGATGTCCAGAAACGTGCTGTCTTTTCTGAGCCCCAGAATCAGACGTCTACTTCTGCTGTTTCTCCTGAAGGTCAAAAACAAGCTCTGTGTTCTGAAGCCCAAAAATCTGCTCTTGTTTCTTCTGAAGTCCAGAAGCATGCCCTGTTTTCTGAAGCCCAAAAACTCACTTCCATTTCCTCTGAAGTTCAGGAGTCTACTTCTTTTCTAGAGTCTCAGAAATCCACATCTCCTGAAGTTCAGAAACATGGCCTCTTTACTGAGTCCCAGAAACCTACTCCTGTTTCTCCTGAGAGACTCAAGCAAGCTGTTTTCACAGACTGCCAGAAATCTGCTGTTTGCCCTGATGTTCAAAAGCATGCTGTATTTTCTGAGATGCAGAAGCCTGCTGCTGCTCTATCCTCTGATGTCCAGAGACATGCTGAAACTACTGTACCTTCTGAAATCCAGAAGAGCATCCTGTTTTCCGAGCCTCACAAGTCTGCTTCGGGCTTTTTCTCTGAGCCCCAAACACCTAGTGAGTCTGGTGAGAGTGACTTTCTCTCTCACAGTTTAGATGATCAGAAACCACTGGATGATTTATTCTCACAGGATGAACAATCAATATTAGCCAAAGAATCACCTGAACGCATGTTATATTCATGCCCAAAAAAGAAGCCCAAGAAGGAAAACCAGGAGAACTCAGATTCTGAACTAAATAGCAGTGAGTGTGGAAAACCAGTGGTGGACTCAATGGAAATGAAGGAACAAGAATTCAACAGTGACCAAGAGCAGTATGATATGGAGTCATCTGATTACAGTAAAGAGAGCAAAATGGATGCAACTACTGCTACGCAGCCACAGTGTGTGCTTCAGTTTACTGAAGAGAAAGAGGCTTTCATCTCTGAGGAAGAAATAGCAAAATACATGAAGCGTGGCAAGGGAAAGTATTACTGCAAAATTTGTTGCTGTCGTGCAATGAAAAAAGGTGCTGTCTTGCACCATTTAGTTAACAAGCATAATGTTCAAAGCCCATACAAATGTAAAATATGTGGCAAAGCTTTTCTCTTGGAGTCTCTTCTTAAAAATCATGTTGCTGCTCATGGTCAAAGTCTGTTGAAGTGTCCCCGTTGTAATTTTGAATCAAATTTTCCCCGAGGCTTTAAGAAACATTTAACCCATTGCCAAAGCCGTCATAGTGATGATACACCTAAAAAACACTTGGACAGCCTTGAACCACTTGAAGAACAAATTTAATCTGTTTTTTTTTTTTTCCTTGTGCTAGAAAATCTGAATTTATGAAGTGTTCAGAAGTGTTACTGTATGTTAACCGAGTAGTTTAGCTGATCTGACAAGTCAGAAGATGCATGGTTTATTGTACTATGTTTAACTTGTCTTATAGCTGTATTACTGAAAAGATTTACTTTTTAAAGTAATTTTAAATGCGTGTTCATGTCTTTGTATTACCCATCAGTAGAGTCATATTTTATTTTTCAGATGTACTATGTTTTTGAAACCAAAATGGATACAAATTAGTTTTGTAAAGATTTGTAAAACATATAGGCAATTAAGGACTGGAGTGGCAAGCAATCTGTATTTTCCTGTGAAGACAACTTCTTTTTTCACATTTGTTAAATGTTGTATTTTTAAAAATGTTTTTATCAAGTTCTCAAATCAAAATTCTCACTAAATTGAATGTGAATGAGCAAGAATATGAGGAACCAATATTCCTGGAAGAATTCTGCCCTGAGGTTGTAATTGAGTGTATAGACATTTGCTGGAAATTTATTGCACTCAGTTCTCTGACTTGTCTCAGATTTAGAAGCATCAAGGTACTTATTTTGTGATTCTGTATTTTGGCCATGTTTTAATCATTTACTAATATACATTAAATTGATAGATTAACATCAGACTATGTATAGCTCAACACTTTCTCTTGATGATCCAGATGTTTGTAATGTCAGACAACCCCTAAATTTCCTGTATTTGGTGAAATGTTATGCTTTAATGTTTTAACAATAAAAGGAAACCCAATCTGGTGTTGGCCATAATTTTTTTTTAAGTCAAGAGCAAAACCTTTGTGCTCAACGTAGTATCTTTTAACTATCTTTGGCAACAAGAGATGCAAAATTACCTAGGAGGTCTGCTTTGAAAGCTTCAACTTCACAGTCATCAGCCTCAGTCATCACTAAGCAAGGTTAGTCTAAATTTCCCATCTGTTTCAGAAGAACATGTCAGATATAAATGAAAAACAAGGAAAAAAAGGAAAACAAGAATTTATGCACTGTTATTTAGGATGCTGGCCTTTGTGTTATTTGTATATTATTTGTTAAAAACACGTAAGTACTTTATAATTCAGAAGGAAGGTAGATTTTTCATGGAGGCAGCACAAGGAAGAAGGAATTCCTCTCCAGGTCAATTATGCCTAGACAAGCTGTTTAAAATATGGTTTAGGATATGAAGGTGTTAGTTAAATTAATAATAAAAAAGTCCAAGTGTCATCTCCAACCAAAGAGCTTCAGATTGGTTTGATGAAAGGTTGTATTTTTATCTTTACTGTTTTTCAATAGGATTTCTGTAAGGAAGGGTAAAGATACTTAAAGCTCTGCGCTGAGGTGACTTCTTAGTGCTGTTTGTTAAGTGAAAGAGTTGCCTTCCTGCCATGTTTATATGAATAATTCAAATGCATTGTGTGACTTACTATGTATGTGCTGTGGCTGCAGTTCAGTGTAGAAAGAGTGGTGTTAACTAAAAGCCAGTAAAAGTGACTCATTCAGGACAGCACAGAAGCATACAGTCACTCTTTACTTCCCAGGTGTTAGAAAATATTATTTCTTGCAATGGCAAATATTTAATAATGAAAGTCAGCATAGTGAAATGATTTCCTGACTTTGCAGCATGTCTTCATTACGCTTGGGTGTCATACTCACAATGTTCAACTTTCAGGTTCTCTAACTTTTTAAAGGCTGTTACATTAATAGATCATATATGACTGAGAAAATGCTTCTATATGAACTTTTAGGCAGTTCTTTTTTATCATCCCTATCCTTGGAAAGGAACCTCCTCTGTGTTCTTTTGGAAGGACGGTGGTTTCAATCCTTTTTGTGAAGAATGCTCAAGGGAAAGTAAAAAGGGAAACAATAAAGAAACATCAGACGATGTTGTTACAGAAGGATGTTAGCTGTGGCCATATGTGCAATACAAATTTACCTTCATCTTTTTATGGCAAAAAGTGGTTGGTTGTATGGAATGCTCAGTCATGTTTTTAAAGTGCATTTTCACCAGCTTTCAGTCAATCAAATTAAAAGTAGACTGCAGAGAACTTGGAGGTGTTTGTCAGAAAAGGCCATTTTTGTCTCAGGTTGCAACTTCATTTCATTTGATATTTGGGAAGAGATTCTTGTAAGAATTACTAGTTTCAGTGATATTTTATCTCTGCATAGCTAAGAGTGTCTAAGTAGCTCTCTTGGTATATCAGTATGTTGCTTATCTCTAGATCAGAGAAATCATACAGAATGTAACCATTAGAATATGAACACATATAACAGTATTGGCACTGTTACATTAATGAGTAAATTAATAGTGTAAAAACACCCCTGAAGACCATTTAGGAGTCAGTGTTTTAAAATAAGAAGTCTATGTTTCACAACTGTCTATTTTAAGAAAAATTCTATAAAAGAAGTATTAAATTTTAGTATTAAAATTTAGTAGAAGTCAAGTCAAAGGAATTCTTGCTAATTTGTATTGTCTGGCATACTTGACCAGGTATTTCTTCTGAGCTGTACAATCAAAAGAGTAGGCTTTCTTTCTTTCTTTCTTTCTTTCTTTGGGCAGAAGGGACAGTGAGTTCATATGGGCTTATGGTAACTCTAAAACTGCACCTTGAATCACAGACATGCTGGCTGAGTTACTTATCAGTGATGTCATGACAACTCAGTTGCATTATTTCCTCACATATGCCTCTTATCTGTCAGTTGTCTGCAGGGTTGGTGGTTTTTTTCACTGCCTCTCTCCCTTTTTACTCTGTCTTTCTGAGTGCTCAGGCAAGATTTTTCTTATACCTTGTGAAAGTGTGCCCAAGCCACAAGTGCTAACCCCCAGCAAAATGGATAAACTGTGTTTGTGTGGTTAATGTTTCACTAGCTGAGCTGAGCCCTGGTGTTGTAGTTGAGACTTGCTGTTCTGTTGAAGCTGCAGGGTAGCCCTCATTGTACCTAGACACTCCATGATTGCAGCAGAGGTTTGTGCAGGTATTGAAACCAGATGTTCTCATTCCGTCTCAAATGCTTATACTAATATTGACTCATCAAAGTGTACAACCTTCTGAAATCCAAAACCTCAAACTCCAAAGTTTAAGTGAAACTCAGTGGAAAAGCAGGCATTTATTCCCAGAGGCTTCCTCCAGTGCTGCAAGAGAAAAAATTAAAAACAGTTGTTCTGGTCTTTGTACACTCAGTGTTTAGTTTTATTCCTTATTCTTCCTTCATGCACAGCTTTAAAACTTGAAACACATTGAGGAAAAACAGCTTTCCAATACCTCCCAAATCTGCTGCATTTTAAAAGTAAAAGTAAAATAAATTCTTTAAACCCAATGGGGAAAATTAAATGCTTGCATTAAAAAAAATGTACCTAACATAGGTATATGCCATCCTGACTTGTGGAAGACAAAATTTTATCAGTTACAGCATCCGTGCTGTGTACTTCTGGTTAGCAGTAGTCAGATGTTCACAGACACAAGAGGGTGAAGTTTCTGGCAGCTTCTCACAGAAGACGTTCCCTCCCCATAGCCCCCTGCTACCCAAGCCTGGCCAATACTTACTGCTATGTTAGTGGGAAGAACTTGAGCAAAGCAGGACTGTAACCAAGTGGGGTGGGTTGGTGGCTGCAGGCACACAGAAGTCTGATTTATCCAGTGTCACCTTTGTCTCTTCTTCACCAGCAAGGTCTCCCACGCCTCTCTGATTAGTCAAAGGGTGGAAGAAGTGGAAGAACTACTGATAGAGAGGGTTGAGTCAGGAGTGACTCAAGAGAACTCAACTCATGCACATCCGTGGCACCCTAGGGATGGTGTCCAGGGTGCTGTGAGAATTGGCTGACACCCATGGCTATTGTATATTACCTTTGATGGAGGTTGGGAAAAGTTCTCTGTCATTGGAAAAGAACAAATGCTTCACCCATGTTAAAAAAAGTACAGAAAAATGGTCCAGATTTCCCTGCTGGCAAATATTTAATTTCTATTATTCTGATAAAAATGATGAAAACATATTAAAGGTGAATACTTTGGTTATCACTGTCTTTCTATAAATGTCAATACTTATGCAGATTCTAAGGACTGAATCTTTCTGAAAATTAAAGGAAAGCAGGAGGATGTGCATTGAAGAAGTCTTAAAGCTACTTCTGTTTTCCCTGTTCTGCAGTTTCCAAATATATTCCATTATAAGGACTCATCAATGCAGTTGCTGCAGACCTGAATTGGCTCAGTGATACCCCGTGCTGTTTTATTTTGGAGGAGAGCTGGTAATGACCAAATGAAGAGCTTGGAGAAAATCAGCTCTGCAGTTGAAATGATGTCTCAGCATGTCATTAACACATATTGGTAGAGCAACCTCACAGATGGGACAGAAGCTTTTTACATGAGGACCATATGTGCACTAAAGAGATAATGTAATGACCTTGCTGTGGTGGCTTTGGCTTTAGGGGTTACTGCTGTCAGCTGCCTGACTCCTTTTGTCTGTGCTCTGTTCCTTAGCCCCTTTTGGTTGAACTGTTCACCTGTGTGATTTCTAAAGCAGAAATTAGTCTCTAAAAATGTCTTGACTATAATTTTTTTTTCCAAAACGAGAATGACTTCTGACTACATTTATGGTTAAATGAAGTATCCCACTATGGTGCAAGTGGGATGTTAACATCCAAAAGGGGCAAAAAAGTCATCTGGGGGTGAATGATAGGTAATAATTACATATTTCTTAGCAAAAGAGCATGCACATAGTAGGGAAAATATCTTAACCAAAAGGAGTGTCAAGAATAGGCAGCCCAGGGAGTCACCATACTGGAGGTGTGTGAAAGACATGCAGATGTGACACCTGGGGATATGCTTTAGTGGTGGAGCTTGCAGTGCTGCATTAACAGTTGAACTTTGTGAACTAAGAGACCTTTCGAACCTAAAGAGTTCTATAATTCTGTGATTCTACATGTAGCCTATGTGGACCAAAATATTCCTATTTGAATGAGTCTTTCACTACATATGTCACTTCAGGTTCCTTCCATGCCCTGCCACTGAGCACTCTGGGACTTGTATCAACAGAGCCACAAACCTCCCTGTTAAATGAAATGCTTTGTACCTTACTGTGAGGCAAATCAATGTGTATGTGAATGTTAAATGGTTTTCTTAAAGTATTTTGCTGCATAAATCAATTACTTATGTGGGAATTATACCAAATGAACTGTTAAATATTGTTTTCCTCTAGTTTCCAGATGCTGTTCTGCTCTGTACACAACCTACTGTCCATTAAGACTCTTCCTCTGTACTGTGAAACAAGTGTCTCTGTTTCAAAGTCAGCATTAAAAGTAAGTGACAGTATGGAATATTAATTTTGCCTAAAAAAATAATTTCTGTGGCTACAGGCAGGTCAGAGTTGACACAAACAAACCCTTAAGCAAACTAAATGTTCCTGATATGCATATGAGAGAAATACACATTGGACAGAAAGGGGCATGTGTGTGCAAATACAGCATGGCTTTTACTAGTATCACTTGCTCACATGTAAGAGATTGGTTTTTTACAGCTTTCTCTCATATCTAGCTTCCTGAAGATTTCACAACTAAAATGATTTTCAGAGCTGGAAACTGAACAGACTTTATCCCCCTTTGGACTGTGCTGATCTCCAGGGTGTTCACAGTGACTATAGGAGTGCAAAGTGTCAGAAAATATTAACGTGGAAATTCTCACTAAGATTTGGTGTACATGTTGCAAGATTTGGTGTACATTTTAATCTATACAGGAGGAATTATGGCTTTTCATTGCATTGTAATATATGGACTTCTATAATTAATTTTCAACTGATTCAGTGTGGATGCTGTCATATTTTAAATGATCCTATGCTATGACATTGCTGTTTGTGCATTGCTAGATCCTGTCATTATTTTTTTAGTCTCCCTGTTATCTGATTATTTTAATTTGCCCTGGAATCATCAACACATTCCTTGATTAGACAGTACCTCTGTTGTAGCTGCAGAGACATCAGCCTGAGGATCGAGTCTATCAGCCATTTTTTATTTTTTGGTCCCTTGCCCAGAGAAGTTGGAGATGCCCCATCCCTGGAAGTGTTCAGGGCCACCTGGTCTAGTGGAAGGTGTCCCTGCCCACGGCAGAAGGGTTGTAACTGGAGGGTTTCTAAGGCCCCTTCCAACCCAAACCATTCAGTGATGGTGGATTCTGTGCTTCATCAGGAGCACAGAAGTTTCATTGTTCTCTGCCTCCCGGAGCCCAGATTCGGTAAAGTTGTCATTAGAGGGAGCTCCAGAGCAATTTATGAGCAGATCAGCTTTCAACATACTAAGTACACACACATTCATACTAATACTAATGCTAATACGAATAAGAATAAGAATAAGAATAAGAATAATACACCAACGATTGGTTCAGAAATGGCTCTGGGCTTCTGTCCTTGTTCTGGTGAATTAATTTTGGCCCTCCTATGACTGATTTCCTCACCACTATCCCGAGTCTGTTGTTTTAAAGCACGTGTTTGTTTTCTTTGACACCCCTCCCTGCTGTGCAGTATTCCCACTCCCTCAGCACATGCATTATTTACAAAGGTGCTCAAAGCATTTATGTAATCACCAAAAAATGACCTCTTTTGTTCTTTAGGCCACTACTCCTCTGAGCTCGGTAAGAAAAGGCTCTAAGGGAATTTCAGAGGAGTGCTGCCCTTCCCACGGAGGTGTTGGGGTGCTGGGCTGTGCTGGAGCCCCCAGTGCCAACCTGCTGAGCTGAGGACCCGTGCTGGGCATAAGCTCTGTAAGTGCAAAGAGGATTTCAGTGCAGTCCACAGCAGCTGGTGCACACAGAGACACAGCCTGTGCCTGACAAGGGCATTTAAAGATCTCAGACCTATTGACTGCCAGAAGATGAGGGGATGAAGCAGGGCCAGCACTCACAGCAGTTGCAGCTCCCAGCTTTTGTGGAAGAGCCCAGCAGAGTTTCTCACCCAAGGTTTGCACTGAGAAGGACACACAGAAATCACACAGTGACTCAGAATCACACAGAAATGCACTGGAGGGAACTAGTGAAATGGAAAAGAGAAGAAATGTGAGAAACCACATTTAGATCCAGGTTAAACTCTCCCAGGTTTGAGCAGAGAGAGGACAGTCTCCAAGTAAGAAATCTGAACATACGAATCCAGGTGTAGCTGGTGATGTCACAGGAAGTCTGCCTGCAAGGCAGCGGTGGCACTGGCTGTGTTTAGTGTGTTTCCACTTCCAGCACTGACAGCACTTATTTGTTATTGATTCGCAGCAAGACAGTGACTGTCTTGCTGTCACCTTGTTGGTGACATATTTATTTTTTATATCTTACTAAATTAGACATAACTGAGAAGTTATTTACTATGCAGGTGGCAAGGCACTGCAACTGCCCAGAAAAATCTGTGATTGCACCATCCCTGGATTTGTTCCAGGACAGGTTGGATGGATCTTTGAGCAACCTGGTCTAATGGAAAGTGTCTATGGCAGGGGGCATGAGATCATTTTTGAGGTCCTTTCCAAACCCTTCTATGATTCTCTGTTACATCCATGCTTTGAGACATTGCCTTCAGATGCAACCTGCCCATCTGCAGTCATATTTCCCCTTGAAATCCTAGGGAATTTTGCCTGAGTGCACAACTAGTCTTACAGAGGCAAAAGCAGTTTACAGATATAAAATAAAAACAAGCCCTGAAATGTCTGTCCTTCATCATTTTGCATTGACTTGCTGTGGTCTGGGCCATCTCCAGCATTTTTTCTTCTCTGCTCTCATTACTCTGGGCAATAATGAAACTGAATAAGTGAAATGACGAACTTGGCCTTGACATGGTCAAAATGTTGTTGAAATGGGGAAAAATACAAACATACTGCCTTGGCCATGGGAACCTTCCTGCTTCATTTATAGTAAAAAAAAATACCAGAAATCCTTATTTCGTAGACAATTTCAGACTTCTCTGGCACACATCCACACTTAGGTGTTGCAAAAAGCATCAGAGAGCATCAGAGACAAAAAGTCAGAAGACTTTCATAATTTGATCTTTCCATCCTGTCAGTGAGAATTTTTTTAACCTCCTACTAAAGCAACAGAAGTAAAGCTGTAGGGATGTCTTAATAGTATTGCAATGATCACCAGGAGTGGTCACATCACTTGGAAGCAAATGGCCCTTTTGAGTAGTGGTGTCCCGCTGCAAGATGAACTGACAAAATAAGATAAATTATCTTAGGCAGGATTGTTGGCATAGCCTTGATTGTGGTTTTGGAGCAGCAAGGAAAGATACCTATGTGTTTAGAACAGAATCAGAGCTATTTATCTAAACTGGTTTGTGTCGGCACGTTTATGTGCGAACAGCTGAAGTGAAGATTCCAGTTTTGCTGATAAATTACAGAAAATTAACCCACCGCCCCTGGCTTGTGCAGCATAGTTCACATTGCTTTGCAGCAGCTGCAGGATGGGCTTTTTACATTTTGTGTAAACAAACAGATATGATCCCAGCACAGGGCAGGGCTCCTGCCAGGCTCTGGCTCAGCAGCTCTGCAGCCCCCTGGCCAGGAGAAAGCAGGCACTGGAGCCTTTGATGGCTGTTGGCCTGGGCTGTGTCCTATCCAGATTTCTTAAAACAGGCTATTTCATTGTTTGGTTATGAACTCATTGCTGATTAGATGGAAGTGGGTTTGTTTAATTAAAAAAAGAAAAAAAGAAAACAAAGGCCAACAAATTGAGTTAAAACGATGTGGTTTACGGCAGAAAATGCCAAAGTTAATTATGGTTACCATCTGTTTCATCAAAACCTTTATTTGCTTTGGATACCTTTATTTTCAGGTCAGGGCTGGTTTTAATATCTTTCTCAAATTTATTCCAGTGACAAGGCACTTTAAAATTAAATTATCTTATTCTCCATAACCCTGAGCAGAGTGGTGATGTCTGCAGTGACCTTATGGTGCTATTTCTTGTAAAGAAAATATTGCTGTGGCTTTAATCACTACAAGCTTAGCCCTGCAAGCAGAAAGCTTGCATGGCTTTTTCCAGGGATTTATTAAAGGAGATATCTGTGTTTCTGTGGGAGGCATATTGCAAACATGAATGGCATTCTTTTCCCCAATATCTCCTTTCCACTACCTGACCGTGACTTAATTTCTGATAAATCAATTCTCAAAAAAACCATGAAGAATTTACCTCTCCTCATGGTACTTCTGCACACACCTCATTGCTAAGAGCTCTGTCACAATATATGAGTCAGCTACCTTGAGAGTCTTGCAATACACTTGTAAGGCAGAGTCTGGAGGAGCAGAGTGACTGGACATCGCATGAGCTTCTCCCCCGTGAACGTGATTGCAGCACGAGGCCATTTATAGCAGGCTCCTGCTGTACTGCTGGGCTGCCTGCAGCCCCTAGGGAATGCTAGCATGTACAACACTTCTTGACTGGTTTCCAGGAGGCTTGTGAGGTATTTGAAATCAATGTTATGTATTACTATCAGCAAATAGAAGAGGCCAGACTATTGCTTAGGTGATAGAAGAAAGGTGGCAGTGAAGCTGGCATCAGAAAAATTACAAAGTACAATAACTTCTTTTAACAGCACATCTGTCTTATTATATGCACATTCCCCAAAATATTGATTTCTCTGGCAGAGGTATCACTGACCAAACATTTGTCATTTCTAAAGCTGAAAGGAAGACATGGACTCATGTATATGGAATCCTATGAATTCAAGGAAAATTCAATGGAGATTTGATCTGCTTCTAGAAGGAAAATTCTTTACCTGCTTCTTTCAAAGAGAAACAAAAACATCCTTTATTATTCTTAGTGAGAGGACTGTGCTGCTGCTACCATTCCACACAGTGAAATGATTCCTTGAAAATCTTGCTCCTCTTACGTCTTAAATAAATACTAACCCAATGGGAGTGATAGAGAATTAGGCAATAAGATTAGAAAGAGAGATTGTGCCTGAATCAGTCCATTAGGATTAACCAGGCTTTGTTCCATGGCAACTTAGCTAAGAATAATCATGACTGCAAATAGTTCTGTTCCAGTTTCTTGGGTGGAGTGCAGAGTAAAATTGCTGGTCTCCAAATGCAATTGTTAATGTGTTTGGCGGTTCTTAAATGTCACTGTGGCTGTACTTCAGCAATTCAGTTAGAATTGGTTTTGCCATCACATGTGATGCATAAGGAATTCAAACCCCTGCAGGCAAGCTGAGTTCACAAGGTCCTTGTATTTTCAGATTATTTCTGGTGGGACATGATTTCTGGCATTAACAGTTGAGGCTGACAGCATTGACTCTGCCAGGAGTCACTGGCTGTACACGAGGTATGAAAGGAGTATG